CGGGGAGGCGGCGGCCGGCAGGCGGGTCGCGCCGCTCCCGCCGTCGGCGAGGACTTGGGCTTCCGCCGCTGCAGCCACCCGCCGCCCGGCCGAGGGATGCTCCCGCGCGGACGCACAAGGCGAGCGGCCCCGCTGCCTGCACGGAGCGGCGGCTGTGCGGTAAGTGGACCGCGCGGCTCGGCCTCCCCGCGGGGCGCTGGACGCGCCTGGCCTGGCCTGGGCGAGGCGAAAGGCCGCGGCCTCCCTGCGCCCGGCCCGGCCCGGCCCGGCGCCCACCTGCGCCCGGCTGAGCCGGGCCCGCGGATTCCCAGCCCCGCTGCCCTCTTGGGCCCAACGCCTCGCTTTGGCGGAGACTAAGCCCTCTGCAACCCCGTATGCTCCAGATGCGTTGGACTACCCCTCCCAGAATGCTGACCAGGTGACGCTGTGGCCGAACGCATCTGGCGGGCACAGGTTGGGGAAGGCTGAACTAGCTGCTTCGCTCTCGCCCGTTCCGGGGGAAGGGGTGCAGTGGTTGCCTGGGCACTGATTTCCACTTTTTGGCACCCCCCCTCCCATAGCCAGGTTACTGGCCCAGGCGGATTCTGACCAAAGCTGGTCAACTCTCTGGGGCAGTGGGTTGGGAAAAGTCCCCCGCTGTTCGTTCCCCTTGTGGTCTGGTATCCTTCTGTTTGGATACTTCCTTGGCTAGAAGTACTTCCCTTGGGTACTTCTAGCTAAGAGATAAACTGTACGAAAGGTGCTGTGTACCCTTGTGAGCCAGAGGCTACAGGATTGGAACCCAGGACCTTCTGCAAAGAATGCAGGTGCTTTTGACATCCATTTTTCCATCCTGCCTCAGGAAAGCATTTGGGGCTAAAACATTTGCTATGGCATGTTATGGGTTGCCTGTAGGATAAAAAAGATGTCCAGTTGGGTTTGGTCTGAAACAATAGTGGAAAAGAGAGTATTGGGCAATTGCAAAATAATAATAATAATAATAATAATAATAATAATAATAATAATAATGTGTGAAACATGACACTTGACATGTTAACAAATCCAGGTTCTGGCTGATATGTGTGAACGTCTTTAAAGAGAGCTAAGTCTCTCTTCAAGAAGGTTAGTAACATTTGGCCATAGGATCTCTCTGTGCGTCTAAGGAAACGAAGGAAGAGGGTTAGCCAGTGTGGTTTCCTTGGCAATGCATGACTGCCCAGGTGTTTTGTCCTGCGACCCTCACTGTTGGCTGTGTGTGAGTCCTGATGGCTGTTGCAGCAGACCAACATGTGTACTTCTTCACAGCGTAAGGCGTCTGTTCATGATGCACTGGAGAAACTCTATGGCTGGCTATGAGCTGTCCTGCTATCCATTGACTCATTTTGGGGATTGGGGGCTTATGCTTATACAAACAGGCTTCATCCACCATGGACCTCAAGCTTCTGATGTGAGGCGCTCACTTCCATGGTGCCGAGAGAGCAGCCGTTGCTTCCTGCGAGGATGAACCTGACGGAGTGGGCTGAGGAGGAGTTGGTGGATCGCTCCAATTCCTCGGCACGTTTCCCTGCACCCTCTTGGGGCGACAATGACACTTTTTCCTTCCAAGGGGATCTCCAGGAGATAATCCACACAGCCACCCTGGTCACATGCACCTTCTTGCTGGCTCTCATCTTCTGCTTGGGCTGCTACGGCAACCTTATTGTCTTCTTGTCCTTCTTCGACCCAGCCTTCCGGAAGTTCAGGACCAACTTTGACTTCATGATCCTCAACCTCTCCTTCTGCGACCTCTTCATCTGCGGAGTGACGGCCCCCATGTTCGCCTTCGCGCTCTTCTTGGACTCGGCGGCCACTCTCCCGGATGCTTTCTGCTTCAGCTTCCACCTCACCAGCTCCGGCTTCATCATCATGTCCCTCAAGACCGTGGCTGTGATAGCCCTCCACCGGCTTCGCATGGTGCTGGGCAAGCAGCCCAACCGGACCGCCTCTTTCCCGTGCACGCTCTTGCTCACCGTGCTCATGTGGGCCACGAGCTTCACCCTGGCCACCCTGGCCACCCTGCGGACCCATAACTCCCGCCTCTGCCTTCCCCTCTCCAGCCTGGTCAGTGGCGAGGGGAAGATCATCCCCTACCTGTACGTCACCGACTTCGTTTGCTGCGTGACGGTGGTCTCGGTCTCTTACATCATGATCGCCCAGGCCTTGAGGAAGAACGCCCAAGTGCGGAAATGCCCTCCCGTCATCACGGTGGACACCTCCAGGCCGCAGCCATTCATCCGGCCCCTCGCGGCCGCAGGGTGTGCGGATGGAGTGCAGTGTGCTGTGCCAGCGCTGTACCGAAACCAGAACTACAGCAAGCTGCAGCACACCCAAACCCACGCCTACCTAAGCCAGCTGCCCCCGCCTCCCGGGAACCGATTCCAGCTGGTGTCCACTGTGAACTTGTCTGCAGCCAAGGACTCGAAGGCTGTGGTGACCTGCATTGTGATTGTCCTTTCTGCTCTGGTTTGCTGCCTCCCCTTGGGCATTTCCTTGGTGCAGGACATTTTGTCCACCAGCAGCAGCTTTATCCTCTACCAGTTTGAACTCTGTGGATTTACTCTCATTTTTTTCAAGTCTGGGTTGAATCCTTTTATATATTCTCGGAACAGCGCTGGCTTACGGAGGAGGGTCCTCTGGTGTCTCCAGTATTTAGCACTTGTCTTTTTCTGCTGCAAACACAAGACCCGGCTCCGAGCCATGGGCAAAGGGAGTCTGGAGGCCAACAGAAACAAGTCGTCCCATCACGAGACCAACTCGGCTTACGTGCTGTCGCCCAAGCCTCAGAAAAAGTTTGTGGACCAAGCCTGTGGCCCCAGCCATTCTAAAGAGAGTGTGCTGAGCCCCAAGGCGTCTGTTGGCCACCCACACTATGGAGGCCAGAGCAGTTCCACCCCCATGAACACCCGCATCGAACCCTATTACAGCATCTATAACAGCTGCCCCTCCCAGGAGGGGAGCACGGCCAACAGCCTGCAGCCAACCAACTCTCCCTTTGGGTTTGCCCAGTCGTACATCGCCATGCATTATCACACAGCCAGCGAGCTAATGCGGGATGACGACAGCATCCCTGCTCAACCGATCCCCGTTCCCTCCGTGTAGCTGCTGGGATCTCATGTTCTGCCCCGGTGGTGGCCGGCCTTTACCGACAACGGGCCGGCAGTGGCCTGCAGTGCCACTTTTGCATGCCTCGTGCAACCTTCTCGCAGCTTGAGGAGGTTATGACTTGGGTCTGCTGCATGAGAAAGCGACTGGGATCCTCGCCTATTTCTGTCTCAGAGGCAGGCTTCCGAGCTTTCTTGTTCCTGACTGTTATGCCACTTTTGTTGCAGACCGGCAGCCCATCTCCTTCCGTCCCCTTCATTGTTTGTTCTATTTTGCCTCTTACAAGATTTGCTCCTAGTCCACACAACGAAAGAATTTATTTCCCCCCTGAATGCCAGCATACGGACCTGCATTTTGTCCAAACAGCTGCTGACCCCAGATCGATGGGTTTCCAACCAGATCAGATATTATGCTATTGTTTCTGTGGTATGTTCTTGAAAGTGCATAGTTTTAGCATTAGCGAAGAAGAACACCTTTTAAATATTTCTAGTCCAGACTGTATATATTATGGGCTCAATGCAGAACATTTTTTTAGAAATATGGCCGGCAGTGCTTGTTTACTTGTGTCAGTCACAAAGCATGTACAGTGGCAAGATGATTCCTCCACAGACCAGATGGTGGTGCTTAACTTTCCTGCCAGTGTGTTGTGAGGCAAAATAATAAAATAAATAAAAGGGGCATTTCTGTTATAACTTTTTTAAAAAATTGCCACCCTGTTGTAGCAGTGGTCGTTTTTCTGCTGACCTTGTGCTGGGATGACTCAAAGTCTGGAGAACGGGGAGGGAAACCCAGATGGCAGCTGGAAGTGCTTTGGCATTGAAAGACCAGAACAAAAAGGGAACAATTGTTTTTTTTTAAATCAGGAGTCAGCTCAGGGCTGTTACCTGCAGAATGCCTCCTCAGAGCACTGCTTCTGTCCTGGAACACCAGGCACTGAAGTTTCTACTCCCCTCATCAGTTAGTCTGCCTGGAATTGCCGATTGCTTTGCTTTGCCTTGAAATAATTTCAAATGCAGTGGGAAATGGGGAAAAATTACTGTTCTGAAAGAAAACAAGATTTTCATGGAACAACAGTCCTAAATGTTTGCTAAGGAATTGAAACAGAGCTTTTGCAATTCCTAGCATTCAGAGAGGATCTTTCTACACCAGTCTTGTAAATAAATCTATCAGAATTATCACTCCACTACATTTTTACATTATTAGGCATGGCATCTAAAACATGTATAGGGCAATTGTAATACACATGAGAGGCATGAGACGGACAAGCACACTTGCAGTTTAAAAGACTTTGGTGTTTGGTCATCCAGAAGCACTTGTTTTTCTTGCTGTAGGCAACCATGGCAGCAGCTCCTTGCAAGTGTGTTTGATACCCTTGTTGCGCACCTAACAGAACAGTTCCAATGATCCAGATAGAAGAGTCCAATTAAAGGCAAGAGGAACGAGGAGGTTGAGTCTTATCACATGATGCTGCTGGGGAGGGGATTGTTTAATGGTTGGCAAATTAAGGAGCTAAGTAAGTCTGCCATAGTATATGCAATAGAGGTGACTAATTTTAAAAATGGGTTTATAGAGCTCCTTAGTGTCCTCTGCAGACATCATTTCAGCAATTTTCACAACAACCTTGCTAGGTAAGTGAGAATTAATTATTCCCAGGTTGTTTAGAAGGCTGAAAAAGTGTGGGATAGCAAAGATTGTCATTGTGTTTATGAACTGCTGTGAAACACCCAAAGAGCTTTCACTATTGGATGGTATAGAGATGATGATGATGGTGTAGTGATGAGGACGACATTGGTAGAGGTGAGATATGAGCCTTGGTTTTCTTAGTTCCTAGTCCAGTCACTTTAGCCACTGGGCCATATTAGGCAATTAGGTGACTAGTTAGTCGACTCCAGCAGAAATGGGTGCAGAAGGCTTGGTGTGGAAAAGCACTTCAAAAGAAGCCTGTTTCGCAATTTTGGGGGCACGGGGTTGGAACTGGGCGGAACTATCTGTTCAGAATGAAGGCTGAATGTGTTTCCTGCACCTTTGGACTCCCCTACTCCTGCCAGTGGGAAGATCCTATGAACCGAGTCACACTTAGTTCTCTTTTTCTGGGGTAGTGGGGTTCTGTTCAGAACACATTTTTGGTGTCCTGAAACTCCCATTTTTGGCTACAGCCTCTGTGAAGGGAATCTTAGCAGTTTTAAACAGTTGAAAATCACAAAATGGAAGAGTTTTTTAAAAAAATTAACTGAAAAAAATTTCAGTCCACTTTGTGTTCTTCTTGAACAGGTTCCTGAAAGCAGATGTGGCATGCAGATTGTGTCTTTTGTAATAAACTGTTCCATATTTGTGGATCCTCTTTATTATTTGAAAGTATTTGTAAGGAACCATTTTAGGGAGATAGAATTTTGACTGGTTCATAGCTGTGAAACATAACATAGGTAAAATTCAACATACAGAAATTAGTATCTTAGTCCTAAAAGTACCTTTATATATTTACTAATACATCTTGCCTTTGTAATTTTCTAATTCCAAAAATATTACATGAATAATAGTGTGCAGTTAGCCAGTTTTTTTTCCTTTGGAATATTTATTTTAAATTCTCAAATGCTTTAGGATTATACAAAACACAAAAATATTGATAAAATGTTTCCCTCCATTCTTTGACAGTTCATAATTCATGTATTCTCCTATAATAAAAGGGTTAATTGTTCTGTGATGTTTCAACTATCCCCTTCTCATTGTGTGTGTGTGTTTAATGCGATAGCTTCAGTGGAATAGCACTGGAGTCAAGCTGAATAAGGGAAATGAGAAACTACATGCCCAAAATACTGGGGGTCTAGATGACCCAAACATTATGAAAACTACAATTCACACCAGAAGTACTATGTGTATGTGGTAGTCGTAAAACTAAATTTGATTTTTGACAAGTTGAGATATATTAATTTTTAAAAGCTCTTCAACCATGTTTCCAGAGCATTTTCCATACCATAAAATACAATATAAAGTGAAAAGAAGAAACAGAACTGTTAAAACAACAATTTTTAAAGGTTGGGAGAATGTTGTTTTTGGCTGCCACTGAAACAGTACCAGTGAGGAGGGAATTCCTATAGGAATGGGAATGAGAGCAAGCATCCCTTTTTGGCTTCAATGATGTTATGGTTCTGTTTGGCCCCAATATTTGGTCTGTCACTTTTCCAAGTACAGGAGAGAAACCTTGGCTTCCCATAATGTATCTATTGTACTGTAAAAGTGTATTCTGCATTCATGTAGTGTCAATTTCACACATTTGCTGAAGGAGCTAATTTCTTCTTCTGACATCACTGACAGCTTTGAGCACAGTGGTCAACTGGTGTCAGGAGAGCTTTGCAGTCCCTCTGGACTCCATTTTGCGGGGTGGGGTCCTTTTTCACAGCTTTCTAAGCTTGTTGGATGTAGTGGGATGCTGCTGGGTGGCAGGTCTTGTTGCTCAATGTACTGAGAACCTTGGTTTTCATGAAGGACCTGATGTTCAGAGAAAGTGCAGCTCCTACTCGCACCAACAACTGCTGACCAAACTGGGTAGCAGCACATAAAGAACTTTATAGCTAGTTTCAGTGCAACGGAAAACATTCCCAAGAACTTGGTGCTCCAGCATGAAGTCTGTTTTCCATTAACATAATTTTAGTGCATTGGCTTCCAGCTTTTCCAGCAGAGATCTTCTTCCTAGGGCCCATCATTTTCATGATACAAAATAGAAGCATTAGTTTGTCCTCTTGCCTTTTCTTAGTTTCCTTAAACATGCATCAGTACCAACTCATCTTTATACCAGGGGCCATCAAATTTCAGCATGTAACTATAATGTTAGACATAATCAATTTGATTACACAATCTGTGACTCCCATGAAGGCCAAGAGAACAATTTATTTTTAGCTTGTCTGCAGGTAAAAGACCTTGCATTTCAGGTAGGAAGCTGCACAAAAATCCTTCTGACATTTATCTGCACTGGTGGGTATGCATAGCAAGGCATGTGTTCACAAATGAATATGGCAAAGTTAAACTTTTCATTAGATAAACAGCTAAAAATATCTTCCATTATAATGGTAAAGGCAGTGTTGCCTACATCCAAAGTAAGCAAAGACATAGGGAGAGGATCTGGTTACAAAAATACCTTGTTTCATGACAAATTTGGGCATTTCAGTCCTGGCAGAAATCTTGTGTGATCAAACAGCTTTACGATTAAATAATGGATTAATAAAGCCAAGCACCTTGCAGCTTCAACTGCAGCTTAAGGCCCTGTCCCCGCAACTCCTCCAAAAAGTGGCTCCACTTTTTCCTGTGTCCATGGAGTGGAAACCTGTGTAGGTTTTTCTCCCCACTACTATCCAATTTTAGTGTGATCATAAGGTACTTGATAAACCTTTTACATTGTTTTTGAATTCTGAACCCTTTTAACACTTTGGAGGGTGAAGGAGAAAAGGAATAAGCTTAACTCCTTTCTCCTGCTTCTGGGCCCAAGTGAGAACTTCCATCATGACTGGTGGGCAACTTAAGGCTCTCCAGCTGTTGAACTGCAACCCCCATCAGCCCAGCCAGCAAGGCCAGTGAGGGGAGGTGCAGCTCAAAACAACTGGAGGGCTACAAGTTGGCCACCTGTGGTTTAAGGGTGAAAGCAGGCTTGTACATGTAACCCCCCCAGTAAAGCCTGGGGATCCCGTGGAGAGGCGAGAGTGAATGTCACTGGAGAGCCATGTGGCACCTTCTCTGCCTGTAGTGGCCATCACCAGTGCCCCATACTGTCAGAGAGATGGAGGGGGCTGAGCCAGGGACACACACGGAAGCTCCTCTGCTGAGCCTGGATGTTTCCCGGCATAAGAAGGACTAGCAGGGAGCCTGAAATATGCTCAGTTCGTGCACATAACAGAAGGGAGAAACCTCTGTGCTGCCCATTCTCCCTTGCCCATGCATCTCCTCCCACTTGCTGCCCAAGCATTTCTTTCAAGCACTGTTTTATCACAGTATGCTAGTTCTTTGACCAAGGGCAAAGGGAACAACAAGCCAGGAACTCAAGCAGCCAGTCACTCTGATCGGTAGAAGTGTGATGCACTTCTGCTACCAGAACACGGCGGGTAGAAGATGGCGTCGGTTTTGTTCCTATTCCAGCTCAAGGGAAGGGAGCATTTCTCTGCTACGCAGAACGACAGTTTCCCACCCAAGCGGGTTTAGAAAAGAGAGACTCTGTGCCACATTACAGGGCAAGTGAAAAGGTCCAAGATAAGGTATTTAATTTTTAGAAGTTTATCAATAGGCTCTTATATACATACAATATTCACAATTGGTTCATGATAGCTATATATATGCCTGCTGGTGAGGTCTTGCTCAGCACTTCACATCACCTTCTTTTCATGTGGCCAGTCCTAGCAGGACTTTCCTTGTCCAATTTTCATGGCCCCAACCTTTGAGGGACGCCCATGTGCTATTAACTGGGCACTGAGAGCAGTCCATATTCATCCGCTGTATCCAAAATTTTGCAGATAACGGGTGATTCCACCTGGAAGGAAAAATTAGGACACAAAATCAGTGGCTGTTTTAGCTGCAGCCATGACAGCGGCAGAGTTACCTGGGTGAAGGGAGAATTCAGAGTGCCTACAGGACCAGCCACTAAGGAGGACGGGCGATCCACCTAGCCCAAAATGGGAATGCTGAATAAAGTTTAGTGATTTGCTCTATTAAAATACAAACAAGAAATTTAAAGTACAGAAAGCAGTGTGTCGGATTTAGATTGGACACACAAACATGGGACTTGTGTTAGTCATGACTGGCTGAACTCCCATTGATTTCAATGGGTCTACTCTGACTAAATCTGGGTCCAACCCATTGATTCTATGGGCTCTATTTAAGCACACCACTTAAAAGTAGCTATATGCTGATGGGGCTGCCTTTGTTGAGGGAATCAATTCTCTCTCCTCATCAGCTTGCCCCCAAGATCTGTTCTGGATGGCTGGGAACACTCCCCAGCAGATTTTCATGGGGAAAGAGAAAAGGAGACTCGAGAATCAGGCTGTGCAAGCTTCATTCCTAATGGCCAACATACCCCTGACTTTCTCCAATATAAAAGTGAATAGCTGCCACTAGTTCTTGTGCGAGAGAGAAAATGGCTATACAAGAAGGCAAAGTGGCGGTCAGGATTAAGTCCTGACCGCCAGCTCTGACGGAGTTTGGCGATGACCTTATGTCAAAGAATCTCATGAGGGTGGAAATCATTTCGCTCCCAAGGTAGTATCAGCAGGCTTCCTTCTGGATACAGCCTGCCTGTCATGACAAGCCTTTCTGACAGAAGTCACCAACGGACAGACACATCCAAAGAGAGCCCTTTAGGAGTTCAGTCTGAACTCTTTCACAATACCAAGCCAGTTTTTAAAGAAGAGTTTAAGATCTTCTTATTTAAATCTTGGCAAAAGGACTTAAGAGTTTTCAATTCTTCTCTTCAATGAAAAACAAAACTGTGACAAGTACATCCCAGCCAATCATCACTTTCAAACCCTGCTGAATTGCTCACCCCACATTTAAAATCAATAGGAACTGTGGAGTCCTTGTCTGCATTGCACCATTATTTCTAATATCCAAAGGGGCTTCAATTTCACAGAAAATAACTTAATAACTTTATTAGAAATAACTTCTAATAAAATAAGAGAGAAGTTTGCAGCTTGAGTTCTACAGCTGCCTTTCAAGTCTGTCAGAGCATGGGCTACTTGGAGTATTCCTGACAAAAGACTGTGACTACCAGCATATTTCTCAAATCAACAATAGAATGAATTCAACCTTTAAACCTGGCCCGATAAAAATTTGAGCATAAAGCTCTATCCACATGCTAAGGTGTCTACTATCATAGAAAGTAAAATAAATTTAATCTGAAATAGCAGCCCCCTCAGTGAACACTGTTGATTTTAAGATGCAACATGGTTTAAATGCAATTTCACCCTGGCAAACTACTTTAAATGGCACCTAACATGTTTTGACAAGCTCTTAAACCTTAAGCTGTTATCTTAACTATTAACTCTAAAAACAAATATTCATGGAGCTCAGAAACGTGAAGCTGAGGTTTTATTTTAGGTCTTCCCCTTCCATCCAGGATGCTCTCTAGAATGATACACTGTGCTTACAAATGGGTGGCAACAGGCTGCTGAGGAAAGTTTAAGGAGCAGTCCCATACAAGTTTAGTCCCAGAAATGGCCTACAGCTCACAGGCTGTACGTCTGTGTAAATCTGCAAAGGGCTGTATTCTGTAGCATACAAAGAAAATGCCACTCCAAGTCAGATAGAAAAATCAAATGCTTGTGTCTGAGCCGAGAAGTGAAGTCATGTCCATGAGAAACTGCTCCTAGATGTCATGATTTAGGCCAAATTCATGAGTACCTACCCCAAGGATGTACTGGCAGGAATGAGGCTCCAGCATATAGACTGTTACCGCATGGGGAGAATCCGATTCTTTGCACCTTGAGACAGAAATGGTTACTGGTGGGTATCCCAATCATAAGGGAACACTCCTTGTTTAAACCAGGTGACAACCCGTGCCAAGACTTTGCCCAGTCAGAATGTTTTTAAGGATGCAACTCACTTCAATTTCACTGTCACCTGTCGTGGTTTGTCAGTTAAGTCGCAAACATCTCCGTTTCCGTAGTAGTGAGACACCATTCTGCAGGGAGGTAACATGGGAGAGTATGACTGCAGCAGTCACTTTCAAAATACACAACTATCTCTGGAGACTCAAGACTCCTGTTCTGTATGGAACGATCACAAGGCATACGAGCTGAATTTTGTGTAGAACCTTCCAGAAAAAGGCATATTTTTGAAAATATGAAGGCCTACAGAAGGTTCAGCTGTTAGAGCTGTTTTGCTTCCGAGGTTGTGTTGCTCTGATGTTTTGATGCAAGGAAAATTAAGGCCACATAGGCTATTTGGATGCTGGTGCTAGTACAGATTTGGGTTATTCAAATATTACTCCATCACTCCAAAAAACAACTACACAAACATTCACCTTCATGCCTAAATGCATTGTCTTTCTCTACAACTGACAGGCCCTGGATTCTCACCCCATCAGATATCCTAGTCCCCATGATTATGAGCATAAAAATATTATTCCATTACTTTTACTGTAATGGTTGCCCAGACAGCACGATGCTAACAGGCAGCTTGTATACAAAATTAATTAATTAATTTCTGGAAGTCAGAGGGTGACTGAACACAAGGAGCCTCAGCCCTTCCCCTGCCCCACAGTCCATCCATACCCAAAGACTGAGGGCGCACAGGGTAATTAGGTCCAAAACAGTCCCCTAGTCCCGCCCTTGCAATTTGTGGCTTGTTTTTTCATGCAGAAAAAGGTGGAGAAGGAGCACGAGGCCTGTTCAACTTCATTTGCAGGGGAACTTGTAGATCTCGTCCTTGGATCCCAGTTGCCTTAAAGCGTGTACAGCAACTCTCACTGCAGATTATGGGCACTTCTTTCCCTACACAGTGTGAACGCAGGCAGCTGCCTACTAAGTAGGAAGTTACCATGGCGACATGTGGTCCTGTTGGGTGGGGAAGACTCTACAACACTTCTGCATGATCATAAATCCAGAGAAGGGGAACTGAGTGCTATGCTTTTCCATACACATTGTGGAAAGGCACCACTTGCTAAGGGGCCTTTTGTGAATTAATTTTCATGTGTACAAAAACAGCACTCTTGACGTCATTTCCCTCTTCCTTTTTAGTTTGGGCCATTTCAGGATGTGGCTGAGGGGTCACATGATCTAGCCCTGCTGTAGCCACTACAGCTGGCCACGCCTGACTCTGCCACAGCACGGTGCAAACATGCCGTGCCATGCCACAACGCTCAGTGGCCCCGTGAGCTGGCAGCACCAAAGCCGAGCTTGAGCAGCCCTTAACTGGAAACTTCACCGGTAGCCTGCAATGAGCAAGGCCCCGTCCAGGCAACAGGAGAGGTAAGAGAGGAAGGCAGGGGGGCCCCTTCCACCTGCCTCTTTTCAGGTGGGTGGATGAGCACCTGTCTGGTTTGAGAATAAAGGCACAGCAAATAGAAGGCTGCACTTTTAGAGGAACGGGCTTGGCGGTACCACGACGCCTTATGAGATACGCTGCAGCAAAGCACCGGCTCCTTTCTCCCAGTTTGTGTCTTAAAAGCAAGCCAGACCTACTTGACTGTTTGCAGACCATCATCCTTAAGGTGATATGCTCTAGCCACATTTTTCTGTGCCCACTCGAGATGTTCGTCCTTGTTCCACGTGCCCACAACTATGGTTGTTTTGCCATTTTCCTTATCCTAAAAGCAAGCAAGCAAAACGTTTCCTTGTAATTCATGCGAAGACTTCCTATCTAGTGACCATTCACACCCATAATTTGCTATAGGTACTTCTATACCATTCCTCCATAAGCACTTCTAGAACAGTTCACATAGCAACCCACAACTGATGTCCTCATGAAGGGGCTCCTCTGAAAAATGCCATTGCCATTTTGTTACGCATGATTTCATAACGTGAAGTGTACTGATGAAAGCAGGGTAACAACACACAGGGCTCTTGAAAAGTAATCCTCTTCTGTTATCAAATACTAGTAGACTGAGCATACATAAAGAAATAGGACTTCACATACCACAGGGTAGGCAGGTAAGAAAAATTATCCTGCCCACACCTCACTGAAATGGATGGAAGTGGCACTGGACCACAGGTGTGCTCCTTCCTGCGGTGGTGCCTGCACAGAAAGATTTCCCCCTGGACGGTGTCCACGGTATTTACCCCACATCCAGCATATTATGGGGCAGAGTACATGTAGCAAAACAAATACTATTGTAAACAGGCTCGCTACAGGTGCCCCATGTGTAAGGCTATTTCATTTCAATTTTGATTGGCACAGGTAGATACTCCCCGGCTGGGGCCAATGGGAGTTGATGTCCAAAACAGCTGAAGGGAAGCATGCGCTCCAGAAACGTGTCCACCTGTAACATTCCAACTGTTGCCCCTTCATACCTTGTGATATTGATGCACATACTTGCCGTAGCAGAATTCGTATCTCCACCAGCCAACACCCTAGGAAGGAGGCAAGAGAATAACATTTACCTATTTCAGTGCCAGGCCAAAACCTTTTTAGTTAGTTGCCTGATATATGAAGTGTTGATGTTTTAAAGATGGGTTCTATTTGTTGTCAATTGATGGTCGATGCTGTGTTTTTATTGTATTACCATCCTGGCTGGGCCAGGGAGTTGATAAATGCCTCCTTATGAGAGGGAGAGATTCTGGGCTGCCTAAAAGAGGAAGCAGGAAAACCACTCTTTAAGAAGCCCTGCCTGAACCCAAGCCCTGGACAGAAGTGTCCCTATCGATGTTTCTTGATGTCTCAACAGCATCTGGTGCGACTGATCATGGCCCCATTCTGGAGCGGCTTTCTGAGCTGGGAGAAGGGCCACTGCCTTGCAGTATGTTCCATTCCTAACTGGATGGTCATCTTCTGAGGATGGTGCTGGGGACCCTGCTCGGCTGCATGGCTCTTCCAGTGTGGAGTTCTGCACGGGACAATTCTACTCCCCATGTGCTTTAACATCTGTATGTAACTGTTGTTTGGATCCATTTGGAATTACATGGTGAGCTGTCATCTGTATGCTGAGGGCATATGATCTTTTAATCTCAGGCAGCTGTGGCAGTGGGCATGGTGAACCTGTGTTTAGTCTCACTAGGACCCAACAGATGAGGCTTAACACAGGGGAAATGAAGACTCTGCTGGTGGGGAATTTTTCTCCCTGGATGGCCGAAGGGCTGTGGACTCGGGAAAGGGTCACATGCCCCCCAAAGGAGCAACTGCAGAACTTGGGCACATGTACAGATCCTGCAGAGTACCTTCTACCAGCGTTGATTGGTAGCACAATTGCAATTCTGGCTGCACGGGAATAGCCTAACATCATTGGTTAGACCACTGAAATGTGCTAAATGCTGGGTTGCCTTTGAAGAGGGTTCAGAAACCACAGCTAGTGCAGAATTCAGAAGTCAGGCTGTTGACTGGGACTTGGCAATACAAATATATAAACAAAGATAAGAATATATAAACATATACAAATTCATAGAAAATGCATTTCTCACCCCATGGAAACAGTAAGACCCACTCAGGAACTCTTTTATGAGCTGATCATCGGTCAGTTTGGAGATGTGCGTTGTTCCAACAGTCAGCAGCTGTGGGGTTCCAACAGCAACTGGCTTGTGGAAGGATGAAAATTTTTCTTCTTTTGCTGAATTACTTTCTTCCTGAAATTAAAATTGCTCAAATTAAGATCCTCCTAAAATCTACTTGCCACATACCATATTTATTAAGACAAATTTTGGAGGGGTGCCCAGTTGGTGGGCTCTTTGCAGCACAAAAATTAATCATGTGCTACAGTAAGAGTAACAGAGTTACTGGGAGTAAAGAGTAACAGTGTTATTGTGGCTGAAGCTCCTGTGACTTTGTTAGAGGCATGAAGCATTGTTCCTCATTGGGAGAGGTTAATACATCCACGGGGGGCAAAAAAATACAGTAAACACTCTTCAGTTAGAAGCTTTCAGTTACTAATTTAATATCTACAGCAGCACAGAAAACCTTGGTTTTGACCATAAAAGTTTAAACTGGAAACTGTTCTGGAGCCTTCTTATGCAAAGTAGGATTATTTACATTGGAAACTTTTCAGTTTCACTCTAATGATTGAGTGATCTAACTTAGCATGTATAATTTACTCACATTAAGAGACAAAGCTAAAGAAGTACCCCATATTATACAGAACTTTTTATTGGAATACTTGTAAAATTTGAAAAAAACAACAAAAACAAGAACTATTGCCACTCCAGTAAAAACAGCATGATATACTGGCAACCTCTCATCTACTTCAACAATACTCAACCATCATTTTTTGCTGTCACTTCTTATTAGTACCATTTTACACTGAGACATATATCTATTTCCACATATTCTCCCATACGCTTACTTGGAATAACCACCCGAGAAGTCTTAATTACAACTTTGAAACCTCCAGGCTTGCCTAATATTGTAATCTGCAATTGGTATCCACTCGTTACCAATGAACTCAAGAAACTGCAATTTTCTTCCCTGCATCACTGAGTAAAGGAATGAGATCAGAACTGCACGGCTGGGCTTGGGGAGCTGGGCTGCTGTTCTCCTGCTACAAAAGGCCCTAGACCAGGGGTCAGCAACCCGTGGCTCCGGAGCCGCATGTGGCTCTTTCATCCCTCTGCTGCAGCTCCGTTGCTCAAAATATGCATCACAACTGCCAATGTGTGACACTCGCCAGCACGTGATTTATTGAGCTTTTCGACTCCCGGCAGGCCAACCATGGATAAATCCAAGAAAAGAAAAGTTTTAGAAGAAAGCAGAACATTTAATGGTACTTGGGCAGATTCATTTGCTTTCACTGCTGACGAGACTGATTTATCAGTATGCTTAATATGTGATGTGAAATTGGCAAACAACAGAAAGTCGAATGTTGCAAGACATTTCCAGAATAAACACACAGCCTTTGCTAAAATATCTGGATGGAGATGAGAGAAAAAAAGCCATTTCAGAAATAATGCGGAAGGTTGATCTGTGCAAAAATAATAATTTAAGTTCGGCTTTTTATTTCATAAATATGAAGAGGACTCAAATAGACATTGAGTATTTTATTTGAAAGTAACCTTCAACCCAGCGTCTTTTTTTTTTTTTTTGGAATTCAAAATGTTTTTGTTGCATGCAGAAATAAAAATTTGTTTTCTCTGTAGCAGTTCATTGATTTCATAAATGCAACACACTATAGTTTTTTTATACATAGCATAAAGGTAAAAAACGATATATGCAGTGTTAGCTTCATTTTAGATGCCAAAAGGGTTTTGTGGCTCCCGGTGTTTTGTTTTCTGTGTGAAACGGGTCCAAATGGCTCTTTGAGTGTTTAAGGTTGCCAACCCCTGCCCTAGACAAAATAGGCTTGCCCTGCTCAGCAGACGTGAAGTCGCACTGCCAAGAATAAGCTGGTGGCGGTGCTTCCTGAAGGGAAGGCCAATATAATATAGCACCCCCTGCAGGCAGAGTGACCACAATACGGGAAGGGCTGCAGTGCAGTGGAGCAGGACTTGCTCCTGCATGCAGGAAGGCCCAGCACCTTCAGGTGGAGCTATGAAAGCTTTCTGTCTAAGGCTCTGGCCTGCTGCCATCCAAGAGCAGACAACACTGAGCTAGATGGACAGATGAACCGATTTGGTATATGGCCACTTCCTGGGTACCCGGAGAGCTTGTGTGCCAAGCCTGTGGTACAGGGGACAAACACAGCCAGCAGCAAGTTTACCAGCCATAATTTATGCTCTGTGTGTTCCAGCAGCACTGCGTTTGCAGGGTCCTACCTCTTTGGCTCTTCTAAAAGGCATCTTCATCTTTTCTTGCTGTTGCTCCAGCTGTTCCTCCAGTTTTTCCAAGTTATGGGGTTTGAGTGGGGATCCTGGCAGTGATTGGCAAAATATGTCGTTCACTGGAGAAGCTCTGAACCTGTCCGAACAACACACTTTGTGCAGTGCTTTTACTATATGAGAACTGTATGCAATGGCTCAGCACAAAAGTAACACCTAGCTGAAATAAATCTGAGAGATAGCGCTTTTCAAATGACACATACTGGACACACATGGGGGCTGAGAATTCTCAGCACAAGACTGCAAGCATGTCAGATTCCCACTACTAAGACAAGTACAAGTCTTTTTCTTCCAATTGTCCATAGCACAGTTCTAGGAAAGTTCTAGTATCACACATGAATCCAAATCACAATTTAAAGGAAGCTAAAATGCTTTTGTTCCATTTTATCAAGACTCTCTAGCTTTGCTCAGTCAAATGGAACCAGGGCTCCCTGGGCGCTGTGATGCTGAACCTTTAATTCATCTCACATATTGGCATAACTGAGCTTTCTGGCGCACATTTAGTGTGCAATTTATTTATATTATTTCAACTTATGAGCTGCTTCATTGGTCTCTTTACAAATAAGCATATCTACAGTTCAGTCCTTCTAGGACATTGTCAAAATCTGCCCAGTAAAAATTAAAAAGGGCGGGGGTGGAGATTTATCGTCAGCTTCCTACCTATGCTTTCTTTCTACAAACCCAAACATGCCAGGGCCAAAAATATCCAATATTTCCAAAAGAATAGATTTGTTTGTACCCAAAACAAAAGGAAAAAAGAAGGTTAAGTGCAGGCCATCTCTTTTGAAAGTCAAGAGTCTTAGCTAAAACCTTCAAGGGGAAGCTATTTTGCTGGTTTAAAGTTTACAGGTCAAAATATTGTGATGCAAAGGCCTCACAATCTTTGGCCTCTCTTGTCTATAGGCCAAGCCAGGTTTTGCAGATATTGTTATGCAGAACTTTAGGAAAGATTAAATCTTGAATTACCTATATTAGCTGAAACCTGTAAACTATTCCAATGCTGAATGAAACCTGTGGGGGAACATTCTTCCAGAACAAAGGCCTTTCATATACAGCATTTGTCTTGCCTGAAGAACTTTTGTCTGGGGTCAAATATGGCCCCCTTCACAGCCAATGCTAAGATAGTGTCTGCAGGATGAGGGATTATAAATCATCATGTTCAAATAGCTACCAACCAGATGGCTACGCCTGCATTTTAGTCTATGAAGTCACCTGAAGCCTGAATTCCTTACCTGTATTTAGGATGGCTGCATAACAGAGGAGTCAAAATAATCACTTCATATTCACATGTAGTGACTTCAGCCACTGAAAGGATCTCATGTTTTGCTTCGGGATGACAGACGTACATTACTGAACTTGATCTGGGCAGGTTTTGTCTCAAACTACAAGGTGTACCATTTCCCATCCCTATGGGATAATATGGTGTCATCTGCCCTTCTATATTTTTTGTAGGAATCTAGTTTGGTAAATGAAGAGAGGAGAAAAGAGTAAAAGAAATATTAGCCTGGCAAGTGTCACACATTCATTTTTGGTTAAGCACTAATGTTGCTGAAATAGCCCAGCTTTTTTCATCACTACTTTTGTTTCAATGGATTTTCTCTACTACAATTGAAGTGGAAAACACATAATGGAAAAACTAATTGGTCTGAATTCTGTATCTGACATCAGCCAAAAAAAGAAAAAGATCCATTTCTTTTTCTTTCTTTAAAACAGTCCATATCTTGTATCTAACATGGTAAGAAAAGCAGTCATATATAAGCCACAATAGAAAATGAGAGCTTCAGCTTTTCCACTTGCCTCTTTTGCACTGTCTTTTTCATTTTCCTTCTCTTCTCGATCTGGAAAAGATTGCAAGAAGCATAAATGTTACACTTTACTCACCAGAATGTATCTTCTTTGTTTCTATATAGCAAAGAAAGCTTCAGAAAACAATTACCTCTGAGCACACCTCTCCCACTTGATTTGGTGTAATTTAAAATCAGTATGAGATGAAAGTTGACAGAGCCAAAAATCAAGTACTAAAGGTTGATTTTGCTAAAGGTTAATTTAGCAAACAGAGGTTCCCACCCCTTTGCATGTGGAAGGGGGGATTTTCAAGAAAAACATGAGACATCAAAAGCATGGGATGGGTAGGACCTACCCTTTACCGTGCCATTTCCCTCGAGGTGGGTTAACTGCCAATCTCCAAGCTCAGGCAAAAAGGTAACAGGCCCATGGCTTCATGTGGTAGCATTCAAAATGCTAAAGAGTCGATTGTGGGGCAGCAAAAGTACCCATCCTGCCCACCTTGTCTTTGGACATTGCCTCACACACTTAGCTCAGGCATGCAGTTTGGATGGAGCCTATGCTTCAGGGACTGCTTCATTCATAGGTCCTGCCTAAGTAACTGCCAACCTCTAAATCTGATAGCTAACTATCTTCTGGATTGGCCTGCCTGCATGTGTGCACATTAATCAAGCCTTTCTTTAAAGAGATACTTTGTTTATGAGGCAATGACATTGAATGAGTAATTTATAACCAATACATGCCTAATCTATCACTGCGGAGAGCTTTCCTGTGGCCGAGGGACAGCAGTACCCAGAGGACCTACACATCAACTGCGTGGCCTCATGTGGTGCGGCTCTGTACACATGCGACGCTGGCATGGAAAGAGCCTCTCCTGTAGCTCCCAGCAAGCTGACGAAGCACAGGACAATGGCTTGTGAGGTTACTGTCAATCCCATTGTCTTAACTGCAGCTTATTTTTGAACAGTGCAACTGTCACTTCCAGCTGCTAAGAACTGATTAACCTTCTGTAAAATTTGAAAGTGAAACAGCAAAGTACAGACAACATATGCTGGAAGTGCAAAATTTTATTCCACTGGAGAGCAAGAAAATAATGTTTAAAATAAGAATCAGATCTGAAATATTAACATATAGCTACATCCCCACAAGCTAAAAAGTCTTTTCCATAATGAGTCAGTTGTAAAACTCTTCCTTTTCTCTCTCATCACTGGCACTTAGAAGACGAAGTGACAAACCTGGATCTAGCAGCAGGCTCTTTCGTAGCATATTTCCAAGATAGTATTCTTGAATATTTATTTTCTATAAACAACAAGAAAGATATCTTCACTTTTTTCATGACCACCATTTCTTCTCCAATGCGTCAATCTTTGTTATGCCAATAGGCCAGAAGAAACTAAACAAAGTTCAGTACAAAAGTTTCAGTTTTACACTTTATTGTATCCTTTATGGTGAAAGCTTTAACAATACATACCTGCCCAGTTTCTTTCTCTTCATGATACTGACGAATATGCTTGCCATGACAGACTTCATAAGTCCAATATGATTCAATCTAAAATATATATTGCATATAGAATATATCATACAGTCATAAATAATTTTATGAACAACAAAGCAGTAAAGGTAAGCCAGGCTTTATGATAGCTGAGACAATAAAAGTATTAAGGTTTTTATACAGATATGGGGTCTCAATAGAGACAGCATGCGATGTCACCACCATACTCTTATTTTAACATACCAAATGAAACCATTATTATATCTGAAAGTAACACATTTAAATTTTATAATGGCTTTAAAGACAACCTGTTTGGTACAAATTCCTAACATCTCCACCAATAGCTTTCCTCTATGTTGTACTACATAGCATTCTAGTATCTACATAGCATTCTAAGCTTATATTTGCAACATCTATAACAATAGCCTCTCTACTTCAGAACCTGTACAGAGGGCAAATGAAGAAGTGCTGTAAAGCTACCAGACTGCCCGGATTCATCTGTGTCTCTTGTGCACAAAGCCGGTCTTATGATAAGGAAATCAGGAATTTGGATATGTAAGAAATTAAAAATTTAGATCTAAAGTCTGCCCCATGTCAAGTGCTCAGAGCACATTACAAAGTTTTGTAATTCTACATTAATACAGACAAGGAAAGATGTGGCTGCAATATGCAATCAGCATCTCCCCTGAGAGACAAAATTCATCAGATAACTTTGGGACTCCAAGGATAGTTCCAGGTCCTAGGGCTAGGGAGATGCACACTGCGGTGGCCTGAAACATCTACAATCTCTCAGTATCCTGGACCATACTACCAGGGTCACAAATCACAGGGACAAGGAAAATGAAATTCATGCTACTTCCCACATTCAATTAACAACTGAAGAATGCTTGTTCTTGGATTATTTCATGATCTGAAACCAGAAATTCTGGGTCCATAAGTTAACAACAACAATTAACATAATAGGCCTGTGTTGTTTAACTTATAAACGAACAGGGATTTCTGGATTGATACATAAGAAACATACAAACCAAGAACTGGATGTTAACTGTGCTGTTAATTGAAAGGAGAAACAATGAGCGTGTGATAAATAGTGTGTTTATTGCTTTGTTTGTTCCTGGCAATTCCTGGGTTAAACCCAGGACTTACAGGCTAACATACAAACTGGGCCCATAAAGGTGTGACTGATAAAGTTCACTTCAACTACAAAATATAAAGACAGACATTTTGCATCCGCTATTTATCTTCTTCTATCTGTTTGGATGAATAATCAGTCAGAATGCTAAGTTAATCAATAATAATGGTTACATTTTATGGTCATGCTCTTGCCCATGGTTATGCGTGAACAATGTCCACTAACCCTACTGAAAAATCTGTAGGCAAAAATTAATGCAGACGTTCAAAAGAAGCAAATACACAGTTCTACACATGTTATTCAATTTACAGTTTTGGCCTTGGTTTAGTAACGTATACATTCGGCTGTGGGCTCTTTTGTGAAATTGGACATACTCTGTAAGAGCAGCTGCTTTGTTTAAACAGAGGTTCCAACAATTGTAATGGGCCAGGTCCTTTGTAATCTTTCTCGTCCTCCTAAAACGATAAGAACTGGATGTCAATATTGCCCTTGAAGAACACAGAGGAATACAGAGCACTTAAGTATTTGCATTCATTCATTTTTACAGCTTTCTGAGAACTGATCCAGAAAAACCCCATCACTGAAAAACAAAAAGGTGAAACAATCAAGATTCACTCAGTTTTTAAACTTGTTAAACTGGCACAAGCCCACTGCATGAATCTAAGTGGATTTTTGAATTCTGCTCTTATTTGTACACATGCAGAAGGATCACGCTCAGCCTCTTTTCTCCAATATCTTTTGACATAAGATGCACCCATCACTATGTGTTTACACACAATGGTATCTGAATTTGTGCCAGCACTTCCTGAACAAGTATTATTTTGCCATTCATTGTAGATAACTTGTGATCATTTTTATGAGCTGAAGAGAAAAAAGCAGTATGTTAAATTTAAGCATGCTGGTAACAATTAAACATTTACTACTTGATAGACAACTGAAAAATCAAAACCTCTTATAAATATGAACAACATGAGGATTTGCATTTTCCAGTGTAATCTTTCTATACCCTGTTATAAAAGCTTCTGTGCAAACAATGTGTCAGCCTCTCAGAGCCCATGAGTGAGAACATACTGAAGCAGCCTTTCAAGAATTCCAAACCCACATGAATGCAACAATTATAATTTCCAGTGCCTGCCAAAAATGCCAGCATAACTTGATTTAAATCATGCCTGGAAGAGTATCTTCTCTGGACAGCTTACTGAACAATGTCACTACCTCCTACCAGGTTGGTAAATATATTTCATAAAACCAACAACTAAGGGTACAGTCCTATGTGCTGCATCCTCATTGGGTGGAGGAAGTCCAGTATTCAACGCTTTGCTACCAGCAAGACAGAAGGAGAGACACTTGAACTCTCTAACCCACCAGGTAATATTTTCATATAAAATGGCTCAGTAAAGGCACAGTGGCAAGGCTGGAGAGGCTATGCAGTTCTTCACCATCTGACATCTCTCCTCTGAGCGCCTTTCCAACCCATTGATGCACTTCTTTCAGATCGATCTGAAGTATCCCAAGGCTGCTTTTGCAACTGCATAATGCAGTCACCATGGTCCTTTCTGGGTGGCTACATGGGTAGAGGGATCAGATACTAGAGTTCCCCTGAAGAGGGGTGATTCTGAAGAATCCTATGGTCCCGGGGATGCCCTCCAGAGATTATAGGATTGCTCTAAGATGGAGGCTTCAATATAAGACCATGTGAACAAAGAAATTAGTAATTCAAGCCAGTCGACTGAATTTTCCAAGGAACAAAAAAAAGGCAACCCCCCCCCCCAACAAATAAGTCTTTCTTTCAGAAGTTTCGGCCTAAGGAAGTGCTGTCTAAACTGAATATTCCAAACAACACTGATTTAAGAGAGGATCAAGAACATGCTGTTAATGGACATGAGAAATTCAATATACTGTTACATTTATACTGTAATCTTTAAACAGTGTCTATCATTATGCTTCTTTTAATACTGTTTGAATTTGACTTTTATTATGTTAAGGAATTTTTACAAAATTTGTGTATAAATATTATAGAAAATTGATTGATCCTGCACATAAACTGTTGTAGAACTGTTACCCCAGAACAAAACAAAATAGATAACTTGCCTCATCTCCACTGGCTAATACTGGAAGAATGCACTTGTATTTTTCTTTATCTGCTGTTGTCATAATGATGTAATGATCTTCTTTGTACAAAACTCCAGCAGTAGGCTTAAAAGGGGGGGAAAACAGTGGACATGCCTTGCATTTAAATAAATATTATCAAAACATGAACAATGGTGTTAAAAAGCCTACTGGCTCTTTATTGCAAATAATATTTTCACAGTATTAAGCCCATTTTTGGAGCCAGAACAAGCATCACAGCTGCTGACTGACCAAGAAATGCACTGAACAGTGCAACAATGAGCAATGCAACTCACAGTAAATTGCATCTCTTCTCCACAGTTGGAAAAGTCACAAGATACTTTGTTTTCTAATCAAAGAAGAGAAGCAATCTTCTGCAAGCTGCGTCATCCAATATTACATCACACAACAGCAGTGGTCTTGCCAAAGTTGTTTGGGTGAATAATGGCTACCTTCCTCAAGTGATCTTTATACTTTCAACCTTCAGACACTGTCATTTAACCATCAAGACAGATATTCCCCTCTTCATTCTTATGGCAAACCTTTTTGTAATACCTTGTCCAATGAAGAGATCTTCAAAGTTTATACATTTGTTGTGATGCTTTGTGCCATTTAATAAAACTATGACACCAATATCAATTTTAGAATTCTTCTTACTGCCAAAATAGCTAGTTTTGGATTATTTTGCTTGCCGTGCAATTTAACTTCCCACTCAAGCAGCCTTAGAATTAACATGTTAACTGCCCTTGGCCAGACTGGTAAACCACTTCCAGAATCATTTGTTTTTGTAATCTTCAGAACTTATTTATATGAAAGACTGATTTAGCAACATATAAAAACTTTCCTTTTAGCTATAAAAGATTTCTGAATAAAGACATTAAGGTATGATTCTACTGAAATCAATTAATTGCAATCAGTTACTTGCAATTAATCTAAACCTCTTAAAATAAAAACAATAAAGACAAATATCCCCTGGATCAGGGTCCTCACTGGTCCCCAAGATCTGAAGAGACCAAGGCTGAAAGACAGTGACCAGGTCTGGATGATGTGTTTGAAGAAATAGGAAGGACTGATCACTCCACCAAAAAAAGTCGTTTCTTAGGTCCTTCACAACTCTGTGCTTTTCATAAACTTTCCCCTTTCACCTATTTCCTTATTTTATCATGCTGTGCCATGGCATGAATGAGAGCAGACACTTCTCTTTTCTGGTACAATACAAGAAAATTCTCCATGGCATGTAGACGGGTGATAGGGCTTCTGCTGACTTTCTGCTTGCCACAGAGGTTAAGGCCCAGGAAGCTTGATTTTAAAAGCAAGAACAGGAAACATTAGGGCCTACTCTGCCCCCTTCAAAAGATGAAGGGGGAAACCTGGCTGGCAGTCTACCTTTTTTTTCTTTTCCTTTCCATCCCCCTTTCCTTGTATGCTGTATCTTTTTAGATTTTAAGCCTATGGACAGGAACTGTCTTTTTGCTGAATGTTTGTCAACTGCTCTGGGGACCTTGTTTGGCTGAGGAATGGGATTAAAAAGTGTAAATAATTAAAATCACTTCTTAATGTACTCCACTGTTTACAATGCAGAAATTATTTTTTCCTCCATACACAAGATGTTCTTGTAAGACATATTTTAACCCAGCCCCACAATATTCCTTTGCAAAAAGGCTGCTTGTTGCTCAAAACAAGTGTAATTTGGGAATTGATACATTTCGGTGCCTTTTACAAATAGTAGAAATTGGTTGAGGTGAGCTGACTTGAAACCTGGGGATTTACAAAGAAGGAAAGGCTTCATAACCATGCTCTACTGATGCATTTTAAGCAAAGGGCGAACACATATTCATGACATTTTACTGCATTGCTCTGTTCAGCAATGTTATGTTTATACTCTTGCTTAACAGCACTACTAGTATATCTGGCTGCGCAATCTTAAAAAGAAGCACAATAGTCTGTTGACAGAGACTGGCCATGAACCTCAGCAGATGATCAGCCTTCTTCAAGCCAAAATTCTTGGTTCAGAGCTCAACAGAACTTCCATATCCCTGAATGCTTGATACTGAGGGACAAGCATTATCACATCACTCTGCACCCTCCTGATGTTTTGAACTACAACTCCCAGCATTTCTGATCACTGGCCATACATACTGAAGCTAACAGGAGTTGCATTCCAAAGCACCAGTCTGGAGAAAGCTGATCTACCCGCTCTAAATAATAGTAGTTTATTGTTATAAAAACAATCTGTTCTTAATACTGGCAAATGAGATACCTCTGGGAAATTCACAAGCAACACCTGCAGCATACTCAGTTGTATGCTAACTTGGAAAACAATGACTTGTTTTGAACAATATGATAACCCACAGTGAAGGAGAGAGTATGGGATGTTACTTAACTGTGGGTTACTGTGTTAACTGAACCAGCTACTACATTTATATCTCACAATTCTTTCTCTTGCCAGGAACATAAGGCAGCTTACAAGATACTCCTCTCCAATTTATTGTCATGACAACAGCCCTGTGAGGTAAGTCAGGCTGGGAATCCCAAAGTCACCTGGGTGGCCCAAAGTCACCCAGGTTATGGGAAACAGAACCTGGATGTCTGAAGTCCCAGTTCAACACTCTGAACCATTACACCATACGGGCTCAAATATGGTTAACAGGCAATAGCAACAGGATAACCCACAGATCAACACCAACTGGTGAAACACAGTGCGATGCAGTAGTTAAGTGGTCTATTTCGTTTAGGATTCATAAAGTACTGTAAGCCATCCAGAGATGACAGTGACGGACAGCCTATAAATTTCCTAACAAGAACCTGGAACTGGGACTCAGGCAATCTGGGTTCTAGTTCCACTCAGCCATGGAGGCGACCGGGTGAGTTTTGGCCAGTCACAAACTCTCAGCCCAGTCCTCCTCAAAGAGTTGTTGTGGGGATAAGACTGAGTGCAGGAGGAGAAATATGGTGCAAGCCGCTTTAAGGTTTTTTTTTTTTAAAGGAAAACATCGAAATATAACTCAAACTAAACTCCCACGCAAACGCTGAGCGTTATGGTGTTGTATGACCCAAGCTAATAGCCCTGCTTTAGGAGCCAGGGCGAACAGCCATGGATCTCTTAAGAAAGTCCCGAGCAGCCATGTCGACCCACCGGGAAAAGGGAGCCCAGGGGCAAGCAGATACCCATCAGCGAACGCGCTCCCGAGGTCAAGAGAAGAGCTCGGAAGTTCGCTAAATCGCGGCCCTCTCCACACGCCGCCCCAATTCCCCCAGCCCCGAATGTCTTTCTCGGCCTCCGAGCCCTTCCGCGCTTTCCCCCCAGCGGCCCTCCATCCCTCCCGCTTCACACCGCCGGCCACCCACCAGGCTGAACGCGCTGCCCGGCCAGTTCACTCGGAACGGGACATCGTCGCTAAACTGGGGCAGCGACCGGCCGCCCCCACCGGACGCCCCCTTCGCGTCCAGGAGCCCCCACAGCAGCAGCAGGCGCCACAACCATGGCGCCAGGGCCTCCGCGACTCCGCGCCGCTGCCTTCGCCGCCTCATCCCGTGCGGAGCCCGGCCGGGCGGCTCGCGCCCCCACACCCACCAATCACCTCACGCCCCAAGAAGCCGGCCACGTCTACTTCCGGAGTGGACGTCACTTCCTTGCCATTGATTGGGGGCCTTGGCTTGGTTCGTCGGTCCTTTCCGGTGAAAAGAGTGGCAGGAGAAACGCAGAGTCGCTCTACCCCAAGTATCTATGGTACTCTATCCCAATTCTTCTCGTAGCCGCCCCGTGTAGATTCTAGAGTAACCCAGCGTCACAGGCCTTCTTAGCCTTTCGAGTTTAATGTTCACCATAGACGGGCTACAGCCTAGAGCGACGCAAATCTTCCTCCATAATCATTGGTCCGTAGTGTATTTTCATGAAAACGGAAGTTTAGGTTGAGTCAACTCTACACTTCGACGGAGTCTCTATGATTTTTCCGCACGTTCCTATTGCGAACGAGAAGTGCCAGTAAAAGCGTTGCGCCTCTCCCGCCCTTACTCCCCCACAGCGGATCAACATCCGGGGTACGCCAGAGCGCGTGCCCCGCGGAGCCAAGCCAGGTAAGAGCGAGATGCCGGGGAGCGGGGGCGCGGAATGGAAACTTCGGCCGCTCGCGTGCCGGTCTGAAAGTTTTCGTCAGGGCTCGTTAGCGCCAGCCCTCTCGCCTCGGGCAAATAGCCTGCGCACGCGAGTGGGATTGCCGCGCATGCGCCGGCTCCGCTGGCGGCGTCGGTGCTTCTGAGGCTGCGGAGCTGGGCCGAGATTGCCTTTCAGGGGAGCTGGAGCCGAGCTTGCCGGTTCCCCGTGCAGTTTGTTTCTCGGGGAGAACGAGGAGGAGAGGATGGACCGCCCTAAGGGATCTGGAGGGCCGCGGCTCCCACTGGCTGCAACGCCGCCCCCCCCCCAACATTTATGTATTGAAGAGATTTATATTCCGCTTTTTCTTTTTAAAAGAACTCGTAGCGGCTTAGAGTTCTGCTGAGGGGAAGAGAGTTACATCATTGTCTTCCTCCTTGCAAGCTTACCTTCTTTACAACAACCTCCTGAGGTAGATTGGGCTGGGAGTCTGACTGGCCCGAAGTCACGCAGTGGGCTCCATGGCTGAGCAGGGACTAGAACCTTGTTCACTTGAGGCCCATTCCTGCGCTCTTAACCACTTCGCCACACTGGCGTTCAAAGCTAACTAGTTAGCAAGCCATGCTACAAAGTTAACAGCAGTAAATGAAGTAGACAATAAATAAAATTGGTTCTTGTTGCTGTCATTATGGGCTGTCAAGTCATCTGACTTACAATGACCCTGTGAATAAAAGCCGTTCACCATGTGACAGAAGGAAATTTAGAAATGAAATTGTGGTAGAACTGAGCATCAGTGAATATCCTATGCGGCTTTATTATAAGTGCTTACTGTATTTATTATTTCACGTCTGTACTGCCCAATAGTGGAAGACACCTTAAAAACCAAGAACAAAGAGGGTGGGGATGAGGTGGATGCGACATCAGGCACAATGCTGTCAGTTGGCTAGTTTAGGCCAAACCTTTGCTCCTCTCGGCTTCTACCCCTCTGAGCTCTCACCTACTAGCTTGGCAGCTTTGCACTGTCCCACCCTCAGCGGCCTGCCACCGTGGTGTGACGGAGGCCCAGGGGCTCAGAGATCCTTGACTCTGCCGAAGGACCAGTTGCCCCCTCATCCCTTTCCATTCGGAGTGGTGGGGCCCACTGGACTTGCAAGGTTACAAGCATCCTGTGTGGATGAAGAGCAGAGGGGCAGGAAAAGCCACCTCTCTGCTCCTTTCCACCCTGTAAAGCATCTGGAGGGGGCTGATTTTGGTTGTCTAGTTGCTGTGCTTTAGAGGGAAGCGACTGAGGCACTGCCAGGAGGCTTTGAAACTTAATGCCACCAGTGTCTTTTCCTTCATTCCCTGCTCTAAATTCTCTTCGTGTCCTTCCCTGAGGTTACTTTTCTGACTTGGGAGAAATATCTGCCATACTTCTTTTCTTGCCAGCTGCAAGGGGGCAGGAGGATTGGAATGTGGATCCCCAGACTGATTTTTATTTATTTATTTATTTATTTATTTAGGGAACTTCTATGCCGCCCCATTTGCCAAAGCCTCGGGGCGGCTCACAATCATAAATAAATAATATAAAATGATATAATTTAACAGCATAAATTAAGTCGCCCTGGCCAAAGAATAAAATAGATAAATAATACTAACAATTAAAATAACGTTTGAATAAAAAGGTTGCCTGGCACTGAAAAACAAATAACAACAGCGCCAGGTGGACCTGTCTGGGAACTTCTAGGAAATTTTTGCGTGTTTTCCTCTGTCTTCCTCATTCCATTTTTTTGTGCTTTGAGGTTATATAATTCTTTAAGCAAGTTACATGCTCAATGATAAAATTAAACAGAAGCAAGAATTACATTGAAATCAAATATAAAAAGATTAAATAAATAATGCCAACAAATCACCAGCAAAAGGAAACTCATTAAAGATTAAAATCATTGTATCAAAAGAGCAAGACCATAATAATGAACTTGTGTTAACAAATATCTCTTATTTTAGTCTATCTTACAGAGCGGTTGTGGGATGCAGTGTGAGGGCACATGTTTGCCACCCTGGAAGCTTTGGAGGAAGGGGGATGTTAATTTATGTCACTTCTTATAAGTATCATAATACATGATGCTTAGTTGTATTATATCTGATTTATGTATTTTGCCAAGATTATTTTGGAAACATATTAGCCAATGTAATCTTTTAACCTGAAAATTTGATTTGTGCAATCTTAGCATAGTTAGTCATTTTTTCCAGGTCAGAGACCCTGCAGTGAAAACATAGAGCTGATTCATAATACGTAGCTCTTAGGCTTGCAAGACAGCAGAAAGGTGTTGTGTGCACATGTGCAAGAGCAGAGGTAACTTCTTCTCATCTTCCCTATTAAAGTTGAAACATGGCAAATAGGAAATTGAGACTTACAAAGCCCTTGGGACCAGGTTACCTGAAAGACAACTTTTTCCCATATGAGCCTGCCTAGGTGTTAAAACCTTTGGAAGAGACCTCTCTGCTGGTACTGCCATTGTCAGAAGAGTGTTTGCCGCTGATGGGGGAGAGCATCTTCTTTATGGCCACTTCTGGGCTGTGGAACTCTGTGCTGAGTGAGGCTAGTTTGGCTCCTCTGTTGTCCTTCCTCCAGCAGGCAAAGATGTTTTTATTCAAGCAAGCATTTGGTGTGTAAGCAGGCTGTTGAGCTGGCTGTTTTGGTTTTTTCCATGCTGTTTCATGTGTTAGTTTTTTGTTGTTGTTCTACTCAATTTATGTATAGGCTAGCTTAAGTGCCATCTTATTGGTAGAAAGGCAGTGTATGAATCAAGTTAGTTAGCCAGACTCTGCAAACTTTATCCTCCTCTCCCAGGGTCAATTTAAATCACAATTTAAATGACTAGTCAGTAAGACTAGATTTAAATCATGATTTTCTACATAATTTACACACATGCCCGCATTATCCGTAAGGAGAGGCACTTCATTAAAATGTTCCCAGACTGGATCTCTTTTATGGCCTGCTGCCATTATAGTTTTTCTCCTCTAAGGAAAGAAAAATATGATAAATCTTTGGCTATACATAAAAAGATCCAAATACCTGTGAAGTATTCTGCTCAAAAAGTTTCACTTTTATTTTTCACTGCTTGTCCCTCCCTCCTCAATTTTGAGAACTTTAAACCAAGTATCTGTGATAATACCTTCTAGATGGAAAAGTCACCCAATACTCTTACAGAAACCTTGGGAAGAGCATGATATAGTGAATGGATTAATGGAATTCATTTACCCAAAAAGTAAATGAATATACAGCCTCATGATACACTAATCCTTCCATGAAGAATAATGATTGGACTATATCTTAAATAGAAAATAGATAGATTTTTTCTCAAAAAGCATTTTATTAAAATTCATTTTAAATTAAAAAATTGATTTAAATTTTAAAAATCCAATTTTTAAATTAAATATCATTGATTTTTACCCACCCTGCCCTCTCCACTTATGAGAGACCCTGGATGGAAATACATTACAGCCTTCTACAGTTCTGCAGAAATAGTAGGGCAGTGTGCCTTAGACATGTGATCATATTGCTATATGAAGCATCTCAGATTTTGAGGCAGCAGTCTGGCTCAGCTCTAATTAGCAAGTTAAAAGTTAATCAGCTGGATTTCTTCTTTTGAAAATCTACACATTAGAAAGTTTCATACAACAACGTTCTAATATCGCCTGGCATGCCTTTCTGTCTGCTTTGTTACAGAATCTTTGAAATTTACCTGTGATCTTCAATGGTGACACATTTTAACTTGCAACTTGTGTGTATCGAGCAGGGATGGATTCTTTTCATATGAATTCATGCATTGCGAGAGAGAAATGCTTTGCTAATAAACTGTTAGGCCTGCTCATTTTCTGATGCACCCTACTAATAAAAATGTCTGCTGATCTGTTGATATGCTGCAGTAATGCTGTGGATAAAGGGTATGATAAAATAGCATAACACAATGCAGGATATCCCAGGCAGGTTTGTACAATAGTCTAACTACCCCGGGTTGTGTGCAGGGTGGATCCTGAGGTGAATGCTTCCCCCTCTTCTTTCCTAAGCTTTTCTGCTGTTTCTGCCCACCCCAGAGGACACTGTGGCAGCACTCAGGGGAGTGCTGACAGCTGCCCAAAAAGGCCCAAGTGGCACTTGGAGCTGGCTTCCTGCTACTGATCCCAGCAGAGAGGGTTTGCTTGGCACATGCTTTCTGTAGTCAGCAGCAGCGCATGTTCTAGAAAAACGCAACTGTTCCTGCCTTGTTGCTCACCGTGGCAGCTGCTGTTCTAGGCCTCCTTCCAAGACAGGCCAGGAGAATCTAGCATGTCCTGCCACTGTGTGACTACTCGGTGGCTGCTGTGGTATCCAATAAGGGCGCATCTTCCTGGGACTCCTCCCAAGCCCCAAGGAAGGTTCAACAGAATGTGTTGCTGGCACATGCTGCCTCCTTAAGCTCCAGGTCAAGCTTGGAAAATGGAGTGCAATGGCAGGGAAGCTGTATACATCTGCCCAAAGTGCCAATGCCATCAGAAAGATTTTCTGCTGCTCTTGCCAAGTCACTGTAAACTTTGGGGCTTCACCTGTGCTGCTTGTGCTGACCAGGTTCAGATGATGTGGGTGGCTACAAAACTCTGCGTGGCCACAATGAAGCCAGTCCTTGTATGCCTGCACATAAAATGGCGAGGCATTCTGTAATCGCTTTTGGAAGATTTTGGGCAACATCACATCTTCTATAAAGTTGCTCCTTTTACAGATACAACAGCAACTTCTATAAAAGATTCAAAAGAAGTAGCTGGGCATTTCATTCTCTTAATGTGATTGAGGCTAAGAAAGTGGTGCTCTCAGATTATGAAAAACAAGACAGTCTGTTGCAGCAAACACAAAATTTATTATGGCATGTAAGCTTATTCATTAGTCTTTAAGGTACCACAAGACTTCATTGTTCTAATGTAATGTGTGAACTGACTTCACTGAAATATTTTATCAGGTGATGAGAGAATTCTCTTCTGCTGCTAAATCTGTGATGGCCAATTCACAAAAGACTGTATGTTGATATAGTTGCCATTGTGAAAATGATTAGTTGAACTTGCTTCAAATCAGGCTAATTAGGTATTGATGCCCTTCTGAAAAGGGGTAGTCCTGAATACTTCCATTATGTATTTAACATCAGGTAGCAGAGATTAAGTTCTGTTTCACATTGCTCCCTTCCAGCCTGTAATGACTGAATACGATATGAAAATGCATGTACATGTCTTCATAGACAGACATTCATAATTGTATGAAATTTGGTCTAAAGTTGAGTGGAATATTTTTCCAGTGCTGTCTAACAAGTGTGGCACTTTTTATTGTACTGTAGTTAAATGCACAAAATGGAGTTTAGCTCTTAATGCAAGGTATGAATCTGGAAAAAAAATCTTTGGAATATAGTTACAAGTATTTTACCATAAATAAATTCACTATTCAAGCCCTTGTGCTTTTCATGAGAATTTTCTTGGAACTATTGCAAATAGTCTTGATGAGTATTCAGATTTTCTTGAAGTTGTGAAAACAAATGTGGGCAAAGGTTTTCTTTGGAAAAGTATTGACTAGATGCTTATTTGAAATATATTTGTAAATGATTTAACATGTTTATGTTTTAAGAAATGGTATTCTTTTGAATATTATCACCTTCTTGCTTTACTATTTCTGGTATAAATAAAGGAAATAATGGTACAAGATGCTCCATCATCCAATCTAAGAATGAGTTGTTACCCAAATTCTGATGGACATGTTGGGTACTTTTGTGTTTAAAATAACTAGAAAGCCAACATGTAAATGAAAGTCAGCATTTTGAATCTTTTTGGCCTTTTCTTCTCTATCAAACTTCATGTACTTGAGGACAGCAATCTTTAGGGCTGGGATCTGAAAAGTACCTTTGGCATGCCCAGTGGAATTGTAATTTCTTTTCTTTGAGAAGTACACCCCCATCCCAAATTGCAAACTGCTATTAAGACTTCTCACATTTTTTTTACAAATAGTACAACAGTTTGACCATAGAATCTGGGAACTGTTACTTGAGAAGTAGTTTGCTGGACCCTGCTCAATAAAGCTTAATTATCTTAGCTGTATAGAAATCAGTAGCAAAATGCAATTTAATGGTGGAGGACTGTAGCTGCAGTGGGTAAGGATTAACATATAATCACCTCTATTGCAAGTGCTTTTATTATGATTTAAGGGATCCTCCAAAGTTGTCCTTACCTAGTCTGTACATGAATGTTTCTTGTAACTTGAAAAAGCCATTTATGGTCTGTGAGTCTTAAGCTTCTTGACAAACTAAAAATAAGATCCTCCATTCTCCCTGCCCCCAAACACAATTTTTCCTCAGACTGTTGGAATGCAGGTATCCTCTCTAAAATGTGAGAGGGCAGTAGACCCTTTACAAGTAACCAATAAAAAGGGACAAGAGAGAATAATTTATGAACACAAAACATAAATAATTGTTCTGTTACTGATGCAAAGTCATACAGGGTTCATTGTGAAACTAGACACAAATACAGAGCCATATTTTGCTATATGAGAATGGGATAGCACTTGACACTCTAAAGAGAACCTTTTAATATATTAAAATACAAAAATATGCTTTTGTTGAAGGCATAAAGAAAATAAACTCTGAGAAGCAAGGAAATTCACAGTTGGGACGGAAACTCCTTCTGTTAATCTATTATAATGAGGCCAACCCCTGGATAAGTTAACACACTGGCTTTCCAGTTTGGTGAGAGTTACGCAGGTAAAGGATGGTAAACAGAACAGAAATTGCAGAAGTGCCTAAATGATTACTGATATTAAGTCCCAGTAATTTGCCATGTGATTTTCACTTCAATTCTAGTCAGGATCCAGAGAGGTATTTTAGCTGATAGAGCTCCAGATGTTTTGGACTTCAGTTTCCAGAAATCTTTACCAGCATGACAAATTCAGGAATATTGGAATCTTGCACATCTGCAGATCTTTCTGCCCTCTCCTAATTTAGGCTAACTTATGGTTTGTGCTCAGCAGCTACAACCGTCAAAGAGCCAATTCTATAATGTCTTCTCTCAACCCTGGTCCCATGTGGATATTTCTGATCTCTTATCTATAGTTAAAAGATTGAAAGTGGGCTGTGATCTCATGTACTTTCTCACTTGCTAGCTTTAACCATAGTTTGGCCTTGCATTCAATTATACCTGTAGGAGATACTGCCCAGAGTTCTTATGCTAATAAGGGTTTGCAAATCCTGGTTGGGAGGTAAAACGGTTTGTGTTAACTATACTTTTTATTCATGCAGATGCCATGATTAAGCCAAATACTGATGAGAGTCAAGTTTGGAGGAAGTTTGGAATATTCTTCTTCAAAAGCCTTCTATTCCAATGAAGGTCAGGCTGGGATGTCTCCAAATTCCGGTCTGGTTTACAACAGGATTCACTCCAACTGCTAATCAGCCCTCACTGCCAGTTACTTTACTACTTCTGCAAAGCTTTCCAGTCCCTTTGAGAAAGCAGGGGAAGTAGCACTAGAGAGAAGTAGAGTAGGCACTTTGCTAGGCCTCTCTTGAATTGGGAATATTTGAGCATTTACTGCAGGGATTCCTCTGCCTTCTGATTCAATTTGGGAAGCACTGGGAGTGCCAGATTCTCTGCTCTGTGGAAGGATATGGTGGTCCTATACTGCTGGTGACTTTCTTCCACTTCCTAAAGGCATCCACTTTTTGTGTGTGTCTGATGAAGGGACATCAAGATTCACAGGGAAGGGTGACAACAAAATCAATTCATTTTTCTAAACTCTTGAGTCTGAAATCTTTCCAAGGAAAACTCGAAGAACACAAATGGAAATTGAGGCATGCCATAAGGAGTTTACTCATCATTAAAGCTAATAAAGAAACGGGGAATTCTTGGCAGAGGGGGAAGGAAGAACGTGCAAGCACAAAGCCTGCTCCAAATCTCTTAACAGTGATCAGAAGCAAACTCTGGGTTTGCACACTAGAATTAGTCTGAAGTGAGGAGTTATAAAATTGCATTGTTCAGTACTGATCCCAGTGCTTTTGTGATGGTACAAATCATTGGGCATTGGGCTCCTGTGAATTTTATTGCATGTAGCTGTAGTCACTGGGACAAGTCCAAAGTGGACCTCAGCACTGTGGTCATCTATTATCAGCTCAATTAAATATTTCTGAAAATGTTAAGATGATTAAAATGGGATTTTCTGAACATTCTTGCTATTGTAGATACAAGTCACATCACTAGGTGTAAAAATGTGATTAAAAATATAAGGCACCAATATGGTATGTATTACTCATTGCTTCTGAAGATCTTGACATTATGAACATCTTAGAAGGAAGCTGCAGATTCCTTTAAGTATAACTCCTAGTACATTTTATCAAAGGGCAAAGAGTTCTACACATATAAAAACCTTGCATGGGTGTAGCTGCCCATTAGAGGGCATTCATGTCTGTGTTTACATTGAATACAACTGAATTCACTTCCATGGGACTTATTCCCAGCAAGTAAGTGTACAACAGAATTTCCATGTTGGTGCTACAACCCACAAGACCCATTGGGACTGCTCTGAAGTGTGACTGAGGCCTGAATTCACACATACAGCTCAATCTTACGCATGTATAGCTCCAGAAGAAAGCCTCACTTTGTTCAAGGGGACTTACCTCTGAGTAAGTATGCACAGATAGTCTGTCCACAGTCTACACGTAGTCTACATCCATAGTCTGAATGCAGGATCTAGTCCAAAACTACATTTTAAAAGGAAAAAGTCTAACTTAAATCAGAGTGTTCCCTCAAGCCTAAATTACTTCTTAATATTTGAGAAATGGAAACAGCATTCTTTCAAATTTTAACCAAAATTCAAATCTCCTCCCTTAAACTCCTGAAGACATATCTTTAAACATAATTTTCTACTGATCAACAACAGTAGTGCCCTGAATGAAACATGAAAATGAATATCTTAAAGTCCTGATGAAACATCTCCAAAGTATATACTTGTCGGAAATGAAACCGCTATTCTGAAGATGAAGCGACTTGACCGTTTGAAACCACATGTGATTTTTATATGGAATTAAGGTTTTTTTGTTCCTGTTCCAAGAGTTTCTTTACTAGTTTCTCTAAAGTAAAAAGATGTTCATCTACATCTTCTGGTACAAGATCCCTGAGGGAGTTGCAGAGTTCAAACAAGTATTCTGTGTTTCTTCCGCTGGGACCGACAGCGTTAACAATCTGCTGGGCAATTTCTTCTAGAGGTGCTGGCCCGAGGTAGCTAGGGTTTTCACAGGTTCCAATATATAACAGCACATCGAAAGGCTCCACTGAGGGATCTTTGGGATAGAAAATGACAGTTGTAGTCCTGTAGCCACCTTTCTCTCGGAAATCAAGATACGCTTTTACTTCGCCTTCTTGTCCTAGTGGCAGTTTGTATGCAACTCCCCAGACGCAGCCCTGTTGAAAAGCACAACCAGAAAGGTAAAACATACCTTTGAAGGACTGCAGAGAAGTTTATTCTATTTTCAGCCCATCTTTCCCCTATGTAGGCTTCCCATCAGCAGGAAATTGGTATATTAAAACTGGACTTATATGTTGCCAAATCTGTGTTCCTTGGATACTATTAATATGGGGTGTGCATGAGGCACAGTGTCAACAAGAAGATGGAATTCTGTAAGCCATCCCTGATAATCTTCCCTTAACTTATTTTTCTTCCCAGGCAAGGTTATTTCTGGGGGGGGGGGGGGGGGGACAGCCAGGCTGAAGGATGGGCTGTGGAGGAAGGGTTAAGTACTCTCTCCATGATTCTCCTCTGTGGTTACCTTCTGCTAATGTTTGGGAACCCTCTATTTGCCTTGTGAGTCTGTGTTAGGCTAAAACAAGATGTTACACTTCTGCAGAATTATTTCATGCTTATTCCATATTAGGATCCACTTTTTTCATTAGTCAGTCTGCCTAAGCTAACATACCAGCATGTAATTTGCCATAGGTGCTAAGTAGGGTTTTGTTAGTTTAGTGGTATTCAACATTAAGCTTAAGGTAAGAAAAAAAAATCTTATTTTCAGTCTGCAATTTGATTTATACATTAATGATTACAATTTGTTAAGAGTATATTTTTAAAAGATGATGTTTGCATTGATCTGAGTTTGTTTTTACAGTATAAATGCAGGAGAGAGCGGAAAAAACACAGAAGCTGAACCATTATTTGCTTATAGAGGAATCTGTCTGTTAGCATAATGGGGTCCAACTGCACAGCAATGTGAAAAAACTTACCAGAAAGGTACAGAAAAGTCACAATGACAGTCACAGTGCTGCATTTTGCTGGCCTTGTCAACTACAAAAATGGTCGAACTCTATGGCTGCTATTATACTGATTGCAATTCAGTGTTAGCATTACAGGGAAACTATCAAGGTTTCAGGTAATTTACCCTGATCAAACAGGAAGCTCCATGTTTTAGTTTCTGAGCTATTTTTCACCAAAATGTGCCCTTAAGGACATAAAATTGGTTATCAGCTATGTAATAACTTTCCTATTAGGATAGGCAAAGATGATTAGGACTCCATTTAGAAGATAGCTAGGGAGGTATATGGCTGAAACATATTTTAAAATATCAGTAGTAATAATACAATTTATTCCACACCTTTTGAGGGTTCAGACACATTCTCTTTAATCATTACAACAATCTTGTAAAATAGGTGAGCATTTACCTCCATATTTCAGATGGAGAGTGAGTAGAGTTTGGAACTGTGCAACAGGGAGTAACTTCATGAGCTGGGAATGTCAAGACTCATTAAAGTTGGGTCCTAGCCATGTTTACATGAAATAAATAGCGCCAAGTTCAGTGGCATTTGTTCCCAAGTGTGGACATGAAGGCAGCTTGAGTTCTCAACAGGTATTGGACAGTAGGGATGTGCTGATGTTGGGAAGTCCATCATGACAACTTTCTGCCAGCTTCTGTTTTCAATGACTGGAAGCAGACCATGTTGAGTTCTTCCCATGGGCATTCTTCTCTAAGACAGGACTCAGTTTGCACTTAAAAAAATGAAGAAAACACTGAGAAACTTTGTGCAAATTGCAAATGTAGCATGATTTACACACATTTCCTTAGTGTTTTTAAAGTGCAAACCGTGACTCATCTTAGAGACAGAAGTCCATGATCTGGCTTGTCTTACAAAACAGCAAGTCAGCATCGGTGCAAGACTGACAAAGCAGAATTTGGGAGACTAATTCATGAAAATCTATTGGATTTTCACTCCTCTGTCTGATTTATCACATATCCCTACGGGACAGGAACAATTGTTCACTCTTTTGCAGAGTACAGTCACCCTTAACAAATATTCTGCCACCAGAAGTAATAGTGACTAATAGTACTTAAAAGCACCATGCCAATTAACCAAAAGTATAAAAATGGACGGCTGTTAAATTGAAAGGTTAAAATAGCCATGCTAGAAAAGGGAATGCTTTTACAATGAAAGTGTATACAAACCACTACAGAGCACATTAGATCTCATTTTTGTTGTCATTGCTGCTGTTGTTTACGAAATCTGATGAAAAATACCCTGAATCAACAGATCAAGCAGGAGAACATTTCTCCTTTTAACTATCTTTTATATTATTGAAACTTTGCAGTCCAAGAGCCTCTATCAACATATTTGTCATAAAGTATAAAACGTTGGATTGCATGGATATCTTACAAAAGTTGTGGCATCCCCAAAGCTGCCTGCTGTATGTATAACTGCTAGGATATTTGGGGCAGCAGCCTCCAAACCACTTTTTGGGTTCAATAGTTACACCATAAGGTACATAGATGAAACAAATGGCATTTGTTGAGGGATACCATGAAGAATTCCAGACTGACTTTCTGATCTGACTGACTGTATGGGGTGTACTCCCGTTCTGACCCTGCCAAAAAGGGGCTTGGAAATTATGTCATAAGGTACATGGCTGAAACTGGTACCACCTGATAAGAGATCACCTTCCTGTTTCTTAAAATATCCAATCTGACTGCTTTATATTCAATCTGGCATCTTATGGTTGAGATGGATGTGGAGAAGCTCTTATCTCTTTGGCATATAATGTCAGACTGTTACATTTTGGATTGTCTTAGGTAAGTGAGCATTAGGCCATTTTCGTGAAGCCGTAATGTGGGTAGGATAAAAGTTAATCAGGTAGGCGAGAGAAAGCTTTAGTATGGGAAACAAATAGAATAGGAAACTACTTCAGTGGTACACAGGAAAGTTCATTTGAGCTCAACATCTTCGCAGTCAGGAGATTCCTCAAAATCAACTGAATTTGTTTCTTTTGTGAAACAGCTTAAGCAATCTCGTGAATTATTGTAGATTACTATCTATGCTATTCCACTAAAGAAACTGGTTCAGTTAACACCTGAAGAAGCATCCCTTGACATACAATATATTGGGCTCACATAAACCATTTTCTCTGTATCTGCAATGGATTCCTTCTAAGCTCCTTGATAAACCATTTTCTCTGTATCTGCAATGGATTCCTTCTAAGCTCCTTTGGATAAAAACTGAAAATGTTATTAATAGCAACATCCTATGCACGTTTCCTCAGTAGCGAAGTCCCACTGTGTCCACTAGGACTTACTCCTAGGTAAGTGTGTGCAGGAATGCAGCGTAAGTGCCTAGCTGTTTCTGCATTTGTGCTATTACCAAACTTTGCTTTAAATTCTTCAGGACAATGATTACACTAAAGACATATAAAAACATAACTACTGTACCTCAGGGTCTTCAATTAGTGTCACAACTCTTCCAGGCTAAAATTAAAAGAAATATCACTATTTCAGTAAAAGGTTTTATGAAATCAGTAGCAGATTGGCTTTTTTTTTTTTTTCAAACGGAGGACCACAAAACCGTCAAACAAATGCTTTCTGTTTGGAAGAGTGTGACTTTTATTTACGTATCTGTGATGTGTTTGCTCTCCAAAGAGATATTTGATAAGAATATGGTAGGTGGTATTAGAAACATTTTAAAATCTTGTGCTTAGCCAAGTGACACGGTTGGTTTAATGAACAATCCAGGTAACTGCATGGCCTAGTTGAAGGCTGAGTGCTTCCTGCAGCTTCCTACAAGAAATTGTGTAACACTGGCCAAAAAGTTGTCTATTGATACCAGTGTGGTGATCCCAGATAGTAACTATGAATGGATGATTCCTCAATTGCTTCCTCCCTCCCACTTATGGATTGGCCTGCATTTGACTGTTCCAAGTAGGGACAAGAGAGGCCATGTGGTATATTGGGTATGCTTGAGCAGGAATAGGGAGACCTGTGTTCGAATCTTGTTGCAGAACAGAACTCACTGGGGTGGTCTTGGGCCAATCATCCTTTCATAGCCTAACCTATAAGTTAACCTATAATATTTTGCCTAACCTATAATATTTTGAGAGTCATGTGTTGCATTATGAGCTCCTTTGAGGGAGGGTAAAATTAAAATTCCATAGATTTAGGTAGGGTCTTAAATGCCAAAATGAGATGCGTTTTTATACTGGATTAGAATGACCAGGCCCACTCCCTGTGTGTGTGTGTGTGTGTGTGGGGGGGAGATCCAAGTTCCATGGACGGTACACACACGCAGTCTCAGCCAGTTCCTGATTGCTTGAACCTTGCAGCCTGCCCTTACCTGTTGCACATGGGGAACTGGGACAGGTGGCAACGTGCTTAGCTTCACCTACCTCATGGCTACCCGTTTGTTTGCTGCAGAATCATACCACAGCATGGAAAGGACAGGAAAGGTTTAATGTAAGAATAAGAGGTACAACAAACAGATAAAACTATGTAGTGTATGGAGAAAGGTTATCCTTTTGTGTAATATTAAAACCTAATGTCATCCAATTTAGCTGGATGATGGAAGATTCAGGTTGCGCAACAAGGAAGTACCTTTTCATACAGCATAGTTAAACTATAGGATTTGTTGTCACAAGATGCCATGATGTCCAGTAATGGAGCCTTATAAGGCTATAGAAACAGAAACACAGAAAGTCAGAAGGGGTCTCCCGAGCTATGTAGTCTGACCCCCAGCTCCAGCTGGCTCAGCTTATGACATGCCTACCATATGCATGCTATGAGTGCTCAGTAGTCAGGATTGCTATATATCCTCGAGAGTGATGTTAGTGCGTTAGTTCCTAACATTTCCTCAACTGAAGTTCCTCTCTAATTGCGATTTGGAGCAAGATGAAGTTTCAATGAGAAGAGACAGAAAGGATTTTGCTGTGGTATCCTAGGGATCTCCGCTACGTGTCTATGAGGACTGCCTCCACTACTTGCATATTAAGCAGGGGAAGCAGCTGAAGTTCTGTGCTTGCAGCCTGGAGAAGGGCAGCTGCAAGTGTGAATTGTGAAGGAAGGAATGGGGCCTACAGCAGAAATATTTTGGCCAGTGCTTGCCCTGTGGTAGCTGTTAAGAGTCCGATTTTTGTGTTCCTGGCCCCAGTGCCAAACTCGAATTTGCCCTTCCATTGTCTTAGTGCTTTCCTCCTATTGTTAAATGCACTATTTCAGTCCTCTTAATACAACTTGAAGTACTAATTAGAAAGACAAATATGGGAGAGAAAGGCAGGCTGTGTTTACAGCCAGATCTGCAAGTTGGTTATGCCTTCATTTGGGATTTATGTCTGTTTAGTTCTGCTGGCTCCAGTAGAATTTAAAACTCTTAAACCCAACAGTTAGACTGGTTTATAATCAGGCTTTTCTTTATAAAATTTCAAAGCTCAGAAAAACGTTTCAGTGGCTCTTGAGGAATTATTTTAGCTATACATCACATATTTCAGAAGTGCTTTTAAGAAGCATACCTGACCACTGAAAGTGACAATTTAAGTGCAAAATAAAAGGAATATCATTGCTCATATTTTTCTCCTTTGAAAGTTTTGGTACTGCATTATTCAGGTACCATAGACTTTCCCATTGTCAGCAGCATTAAATCTGTTTGAATCTGGGGATGACATGTAAAATACTCAGGGTTCAGGGTACTCCACTTTAAAAAGAAGTAAAATTCTGCATCCAGACAGTGAATACGGTATGTTTATGTTTGCCTTCAGGTCCAAAAACGTGATACGCTTTTCTAATAGGAGCAGCCTGCTTCCTAAGTGCTATTCAATCTTTGTGCTTGTAACCATGTTGTTTAAAATTAGGATGTTTAATGCCAGTTAAGCTTTTGAGTGAGAGTACATATATGTCAGTGCTCTGTGGATTGTTTTACAGGAAGGCTGTTGCCTTTCCTGTAGGCAAAAAACACTTCGTTCCACTAGTAGTAAATGCAGGCAGTTGCAATACTCTGTAATCTGTTTTTATTTGTGGCGCATCACTTGTCCCCTTCATGTGCTTTCTTGACTCAAGACATAGAGAAACACTAGCTTCTCCTTCAGACCTTTACCCACGGTGCAGGTTTTTGGGTTGGCATCAAGATGCAAACCTGTTTTGCCTTACTTATGCCAGGCAAAGGAGGCCCTCTTGGGGTTCCCTTTGTTTGTCTTTTCCCAGTCCTGATTTCCTGACTTTTGTGCAGTTTTTCACCTGCTCTAAAAGGCCAAAGCACCTCTTTGAGGGCTTACCTACTGGTTGTAAGAGCTTTCAATATGCCAACTTTTTCTGTAGCTTTGCCTCCACCCCTTTTCCTGTGGCTCCACCCCCAACTGGAAATAGCCCCTGAGAATTTCTCTGAAATGTAATTCAGTCCTTGGACTGAAAGAGGTTTGCTACCCCTGTTTAACTCTAAAATGTGTTATTGAAAACTCCTTGGAAGCTTGAAGTGAGCGCAGAATGCTGCTTTTACCTACCAGCTAGCCTTATGCCACCATCCTGACTTCTGTTCCCAATCTAATTCGTACTGCTTCTTGCCTTTAAAGGTAAGATCCTGCACATCTCAATGATTTTTTAAAATAAAAAACTGGATTAAAAAATTAAATTTGATGTTTTGATTTAAATTGGACCTTTTTGTGGGAAAATATATCTAAAGGTAGTTTTCTATTTAAGAAAGTTCAAACATTCTTCATTATTTTTTAATTACGTAGCATGAGGCTGTATATTCATGCAATATGTAACATTTTTGCTAAATGAATTCCATCAAGCCATTCCCAATGTCATGCTTTTCCAGAGGTTTCTGTCAGATTATTGGACTGTTTTTTTCTATCTAGAAGATACTGTCCCAGATACCTGGTTTTAGTTCTCAAAACTGTGATTTTGTGCCTGCAGAGATCACATGCCTCTTCTGCACAGCAAAAAATTTAGAAATTAAACATACAGATTTAAGAGAAAGACCTTAATCCCATTGTTCCTTTGCAAACCTATGTACACAGAACCAACCCCTTACCTCTTAAAGGCTAAGTTTAAAAAAATTCAGTGACTAGAAGATTATTGGGAGTGGAGTAGATCTGCACAAGAAGCTAAGAGTGAGGAAGGAGGGGTGAGCAGTAAAAATGAAAGTGAAACTTTTTGAGCTGAATACTCCAAAAGGTTTATTATATTCTTCTTTCCCTGGAGGAGAAAACCTATAATGGCAACAGGTTGTAAACGAGACCCAGTTTGGGAATATTTGAATGACGTTCCTCTACCTACGGGTAAGGCAGCCATGTGCGCAAATTATGACGAAAACTATGATTTAAATCTAGCTAGTGATTTAAATCAGTTTGATTTAAATTAAATCAACCTTGGGGAGCACCTAGTCTCATAAATGGGACTCCCAGGCTTGTTGTTCCCATATGTTTGTCTGCATGCACTGATTTTGGCTTGTTTCATAAGGAGATCTAAGAGGCTTCAAATGGCCTTCTCTGCACTCTTGTAATGGAATATCCCCTTCCAATAGATTTGGCCAGAGCTCCAAGTTTTATGGCTTCTGTCAGCAGCTGAAAACATTCTTTCAAAGATGGGTGAATATGCTTCATTTAAATTATTGTATAAGTACTTTATGTAATAAAAAAAGCATCAGTAAACTACAGGGAAGCAGGGCAAAATGCTTCTTGTGAGCTTCAAAGTACTGGCTGTTGTCATTACTGAGGGATGACATGTATACTGTCAGTTGTTTGCTGCCATTTTTAATTTGGATATGCTGCATATTTTTTCCATGTCACCTGGAGCGCTCGGCTCTTGAGTGGAAAGACTCTCCATTTTAACTAATGCTGTGGAAAGTGGTACATGGAACAATCACACAGTGAACACTGCAGAATGTGGTGTGTTTAAATTTGATGCTCGACAAAATGCTATGGAAATTATGGTATCTGTTGGAAAAAAGCTTTCCAGCATGTGGTAGGATGTAGTGTTGGGAGGGCAGGTATATGCCTGGCTGAAGGGTGATTTAATTCACTAGAGGTGGGCACACGTACATCCCTAAAACCTGTTTCCCTTCCTCACCACACACGGGTGGCTCGGCTCAGCTCAGCTCTTGTGTCTGAACTGCTCTTTGGAACTGGCCCCAAGTGCCTCTGTTGAGCTGATGTGACCTGATGGTGGAAGCTGCCACCCAATGTGACTGTCCCAGTTGAGAGCAGGAGGAGTATGGCAGCAAGGACTGGCCATCTCTGTCTTTTGCCCCTGCTTGCGAGGAAGATGGGTGGAGGCACCACCGGGATGCCACATGTCCCAGTGCAGCCTCACCCCTCCCCTCCCCTCCCCTCCCCTCCCCTCCACCAAGAACGCCCCTCCAGCACCGGCTTCAAAGTTCCACATGTGGCTTCAGTGGTGCAGAAAGCACTGTGCCAACTGCAAGAATGAGGGAGAGGCAGAGTTCCTTCTCCAACCCTGAAGCACATTTTCAAGGCTGGGGCTGGGATGCCAACCTATCCTCTAGATGGCATCCAGCAGCCACAGATGCGACCTTAACCAGGAAGCTCACCAAGGGCCCTAAAGCCAAATCATTACCTCTCAGCCTTCTCTCCTGTTAACAAAATGGGCATGACTGACCTATATTGTGCCAGTACTTTCTCTTCTAAAGAACAGGGTCAAACCCTAACTGACATGTGGTTCACTTTTAATTAAAGCAGCCAATATTTTTCCATATTTTTTAAAGCTGAGAACAGTTTTAACCAGATGCATAACTGAATCATCAGTTATATATCTCATTCAGCTGATTGAATTTGCATGTTTCCGCTGTGTTTTTCTTTTTTGCTGTTTCGTGGGTACCAGTTTGAGTCAAATTGTAAATCTTAATTTCTGCTTGGAGCTTGTTATTCAAAAACAAAAGGAAAATGCAAAATAGGTGAATTAACATTTTTTCTGCTGATTTATGGTTGCTGCTCTAGTTTTCACTGGGCTGAAATGTCACAAGGAGCATGTGCCTTTACGGGGCTCCTAGAAGTCTATTTTAAGTACATCAGGTGGGCCAAACACATTTATTAAATATGAGGTAATTACTCATGCCCTGAAAGATGCAAGCTCTAACAAATGGTACAATTGTATATTTTCATTCCCAGAAGAATACCAATTATTTCTAAGTGTTGCTTCATGTATGTTGACAGCCAGTAAGTATTTCTGATGACAGATTAATTTGCCGCACATGCAGCTGTAAATAACATAGCCCCGCTCTGTCAATGCTATTCTCGCAAATTGCTGGATGTTTCTGAACCCCATTGTTTCCTTGGCTCAACAAATGCTATTTAGAATTATATAAGCTCCATGGTCCTTGAATAGTGGGAGGCACATCAGGTTCCAAAGTACTGTAAAATCTATTCTTTTCATTCAGGTACCTTTCAGAATGCACTTATCACGAAACAGGAAGGGCTACAGCTTGATCTGTTTACTTAATCAAGGTTTTATTCTTACTTTATTGCAGACACAGTAAAATTTCCTGATATACTGTGGAGTAGCATGGACTTAATTACATGCTTTTTAAAAAGATTGTTCCTCTAATTAAATGTTCTATAGCCATAGGTCAGTAGCCTGATGGGAGCTCTTGATAATTCCTTCCTAGATTCTAAAAGAGTATGAAGTGAGTTCTGAACTTACTGCTTGACCTTGATTTAGGCTATATTTTAAAAAATATGGCTATGACTTAATAAAGTGGTATACGCTTCACTTTCTGACTGTTTTTCACTTAAAAGGAAGAAATGTAAAAGCAGTTTCAGGATTTGATGCAGGAGCTCCTCCAAACGGCGGTGCCATTTACAAGTGTCCACATGATCCGAGCTTTTCTTTTTGCATCAGGAGTTCCGTTAAGAACGGAAGGACCTTCTAAGAGCTTTCCAAATGTTGGCAGTCCACATCTCTCTTTCATCTGTGTCTGCAATTGTCAGGCTGAAATGATCGCTAGCAGCATGCCCTATCATAGACACATCTGCTAAAATGGGCATGTGTTACTTGGATGTTTTTATCTTAATTTAATTTATTAGCAGCTAATAAAATCCTTCACTTTGAAGATAATGGTACGAACAGAGATGTAGCTAAGATCCTAGATGCACTTGAGTATAAACAGATGGGACAAGTAACGTATCTGCATGCATAAAAGGAGGGATGATGCTCTTATTGGACCAACATTTGTTAGACAGAATAAAAGCTCTTTGAAGATCTCCTGAGAAACTTGTGATCAAGAGGGAGGTAGCCAAGCCTGCAAATGCTACTGCATTCTTCAGGATGGTTAAAATCCCAGGCACATTGTGAAGAGCTCCAAAAGGTTCTCTCTCTCTCAAAAAAGGGGGTGAATAGGCAACACAACAGTAAATAATGACCATAAAAGATAGTGGTATATTCTAATGCAACAAATCCTAACCGTGTATATTTGTAAGCAACAACCGTGTTGTCTTAATTGTCTTTTTATTGTAAGCCGTCCTGAGATCTTGTATAATAGGACGGCATACAAAAGTTTTTAATAAATAATTAAATAACCAGGAAAGCTCTTGGGGGCATGATGGAAAGGTCACTGTATACGCCAGTACGCTGTGTCATGGTAGTGAAAAACACAGACCTGGTGTAAGGCATCACTAGGAAAAGGACTGAAAATTACGCAGTGTTGCATTACAAATATGTAATACAACCACAATTCTAGTGCCATCTCAACATGGGTGTCATAAAACTGCAGAAAATAGCAACATGTGAGCCCATGGAGGACCATAATAAGTAAGTATACACAGAATTGTGCTCTAACTTGAAAATGAGCCTTTATCCCTATGAAGAAAGGTTCAGATTCTGAGGTTTAAATTTAGGAAAAGATGGGGAGAGAGATATGATAGAAGCATATGGAGACTGTGAAGAGAGTATATTAAAATTATTTTTCTCTCAATTCTAGAAGTTGGGATCATCAAATGAAATTAGTGGGTTTAGCATTAACAGAATTATATACATACTAAATAGAAAAAATATTCTTGGCATACAATATTGTATGTCCTACTCTTCTGATGATTGCATTTAATAAATAAAATTTCTGATATCAGGTAAATTAGTAACTCAGTTCATCTAATTGGGGCAGGAATCCCTGCAGGGAAAACATGATCTGAGAGATCTGATGCTACATCAGTAAGTCAATGCTTTCGAGACTCCTTACTTGAAATAAAAACAAAAGCAACATTAGTCCAGATAGAAGAGTGGAAAGCAAGGAAAACAGGGTGTCCTTTAAAGGAGCTGAAGGGAGAACTTTGGGGTAAGAATTCCAGGACTGTCCTGCTTCCAAACAAACTGCAACAGCAAAGGAATCCTATACATCTGCTTATGACATTAGTGCAGATACAGTGGGGGAAATGGTGTAGCCAGGGAGGAGCTTTGTTCCATATGGAAGTCCACATCCTATGCTAGGAAGCACGGATCAATAAACAAGTACTGTTCGGAAGAATGGAATACCCCTTCTATGATGGCACCACTTTAGAAAGTGGGCAGAGGGGGAGAGGTTGCATGACTGGCTTTCCCATGCCAAAACATCTCTGCACAAAGACAGACAACAAGTATTTTAGGCAGCAGACTAGGCTAGAAGCCTCCCTAAGGGGATAACTTTCCAGCTGTGGGGAGTTTTTGACTGGAATATGGTGGGGTGCCATGCAAATTTTGCAAATGCTGATCACATTACAGTGTTCCATGTGGTTCTTCCAAATCAGCCTTTCAGTATTTGATCTTAAATATTTGTCAATAGTTCTGATTATGTTCTCATAATAATTTTTCTTACTATGTTAATCTTAAATCTATTTGGAAAGGAATATCCCATCATATTTGATGGGACTCACTTCTGAGTCAGCACATGTAAGATTGGGTTGAAAATCTATACGGTTAACTGAAATAGAAATGATGTGCTGGTGTGTTTTGCCCTAACAAAGGAGCCTGGAGTAAAAGGTGAGGGCTTTCAACAAGTATTAGGAAATGTGTTGATGTACATATTTGTGCCAACTGGTTTTGGGGGACTGTTAACTCTCTACCCTTCTTAAATATGGAAGAAGACTCAATCTTGAAGAAAACGATTTATGAGAAAATTAAATCTTGCGCAGGAAAATTTGCTTAAACAGCGGCAGGGAGAAGAAAAGAAACCCCTTCAAAAACCCTTCCACTGGAAAGCGATCATCATAGGGAGTTTTCTAGTCTTGCCTCCTGCTTCAAATGCTAGTGCTTTATCTTTGCACAGAGGTTCATGAAGGTTGCATTTACTTCACAAACTGCTCCCCTCCCCCAGTCATCACGTTCCTTCAAGAAACAACCTGTCCGCCGGGCATCAGTGGCAGCGGGTGTGCAGCTTATGCAAGAGCTGATCCAAAGCACTGAAGTAAGTGAAAACTTGTAAGAAAGAACTAGCTCGGGAACGTGGCCAACCTCCTAAAATGCCCTTTCCCCCCTTCCTCCAACTGCCATACAGCATCTCCCTTCCTTTCTGTTGCTTCAGAAATGAACTGTGGCAGGCTGAATTTCGCCAGTTTCGGGTTAACCAGGAAACTATGGGGATCTTGTATCGGTTATTGCAATATAAGTGGCGTGTAAGGCTTACTGCTTGGGATTTGGAGACGGAAGTCTCTCTCTGCGTGCATAGGTATATAAATCTCGCTGGGAAAGGGAAGTGAGTGGTTGCAAAGCCTGCCGACGATGTGTGCGTGTGATTAAGAGCCCTCCTGCATGACTCGTCCTGCGCTGTGGCTGGGCATGTTCGTGTGAAAGCGCTCCTAGCCTCTGAAGACCTCTACTATTGGGGCAAATAGACGGGCACACTGCGCTTCTTCTAAATCCCTGGACGGGGAGACTCGCCTTGGCGCCGCAAGCCGGCACGGGGTGGGGTGGGGGGCACCGCTGCTACGCCTTGAGTCGTGATGCCCTTCGGCGGCCGGCCGGCCGGCCGGCCGGCCAGAGCCCTTCCCCCGCTCCCTCCAGCTGCCCTCGCCAGGTCCCGGCAGATCCGCACCGCCGCTCACCTGGCCCGGCACCCCGCGGTGGTCCGTGCTGCCTTGCCAGAAGCGCCGGCTGTAGCCCGTGATGTACCCGACCATCTTGTCCTCGTAGGGGAAATCCACCTTCCAGATGAGGGAGCCGTAACCAAACACCCACATGCTTCTCGCCCCGTCGCGCTCTGCTCCCGCTCTCCCGGGAACGGCGAGGCAGGAGGGGGCGGCTCCGGCGGCTGCCGAGTGCCCGACGCGCGCCCCTCCAGGGCTCCCCGCTCGGCAAGGCACGCTGGGGCTTGTAGTGCGCCGCGGCTCGGGCGGAGGCGGCCCGGGGAAGCCTCCGCCTCGGGCTGGGCGCCTGCTCTCCCGGAGCCGCTGCGGGCTCTTCTTGGGGCAGCGGGCCCCGCAGCAGGGAAGGGTCCGGTCGCAGGCGGGGCCGGTCGCTGCCCCGCGACCCGGACGGAACTACGCTTCCCGGCGTCCTCTGCGGTGCCAGGGCAGACAGGGTGAGAGTGCGGGGCTGGTATTCACGTGGCGCCGCTCGCCTCCTTTCTCCTCCTGCTGCTGCTTTGATCGCGAAGGGAAAGCGGCGGCTCAACAGCCCCGTGCTCGCTGCCGCGCTCTCCTTGCCGCAGAGGCGAGGCCGGGAGCGCTGGGCCGGCAGGGGTGCCGCCTCCGCAGCTGCGGTCCTCGCTTGCCTCTTTCCCGGCTTTCTGGCGCTCCCCTCTCTCGGCGGGGGCAGGAAGCGCGAGGCGCCGGCGGTGCAGCAGAAAGGGCTGCACGGAAGGCGCCGCCGCTTCTCCGTCTCGCTGCGCTCCTGCGTTTGCTGGCTCGGGGCAGCGGGGCCGGTCTGGCGCCTCACCTCCAAATGACCACCCAGCAGGTGATCGGACTAGCAGGGCAGCCGAAGCCTTTCCCACTCAGTTTCTGTAGGGTTGCGGTCCCGAGAGGGGAAACGCCAATGCCCGCAAGCTCAATGGATGGCAATACCTTAGGGAGCAATCCTTCGCGCAGTGTAAACAGACCCCCCCCCCCCGCCCCGCGCGCACTTCCCAGCAATGGCTCACCCTGTCTGGGCAATTGCTGGAAGTTACAGGGCTTTTTTCTGTCGACATCGTGCATAACATTGTACCTTACCTTGTTGAGCTCATCCATTGGGGCGGCTGGGGGGGGGCGTATTTAAAATGTAAAGTGTGGAATGGTGGGGGGGGGCAGGTTGGAAGGGTGCTTCCAGGCTGCAGGTTCAGCCAGGAGTTTACAGTCCAAGGCATGTCTACCTGGAAGTCACAACTTCTGGATGGTTATGCATTTGTAATGGCAAAACCGGAGATGTGTTATGGAGTAGATGTAGGCTGCAATCCAGCATAGCCAAAAGCCCCCGATTGGTCGGGAGCAGGCGTGTATCTCATGTAGTGTGGAAGGAAGGTGTTGTTCTGTGCCATCAAGTCTTCTCTGAATGAAATGTTTGGCTCATGACAGCCCTACCCAGCTCTTCTAAATTAAAGGCTGTGGCTTCTTTCTGGATTTAGTCCATCTCATATTTGATCTTCCTTTAATTTTCCCTGGCATGATTTTCCCCCCCAGTGAGTCTTGCCTTCTCGTGATATGACTGGAGTATGACACCTCAGTTCTGTTAGACTTGCTTATCAGGAACAGGCTTGATTTCAACCAGCTCCCACTTGTTTGTCTTTCTGTATTTGCAAAGCTCTCATCTAGCAGCATGTTAAAAACATGCCCATTTTTTTCCTATCAACTTCCATCATTGGCCAACTTTCCCTTCTGTTCATGATGACTGGAAATTCATTGATCTGAATGATCTTGGCCTCGGCCTCTAGTGAAACATCCTCACACTTGATTATCTTTTCTAGTTCCTTCATTACTACGCTTCCAAGTCTCAGTCTTTTTTGTATTTCATGACTGCAGTCTCCCTTTGAATTGGTGACCGAGCTGATGCATGTAAAATCTTTCACAACGTTGATTTCTTCATTGTTAACAATAAAGTTCTCTAATTCCTTTGTGGTCATGATTTTTGTTTTCTTAATACCCAGCTGCAGCCCTACCGTTGCACTTTCTTCTTTAACTTTCATCCAGCTCCGTTTCAAGTGATTGCTGCTTTCTGCCAGTGGTACGGTATCAACTGCACATCTTAAATTAGTGGTGCTTCTTTTGCCAGTTTTCACGCAGTCCTCTGATCCTAATCCAGCTTTCCTTCTGATATGTTCTGTTGAACAGATAGGGAGATAAACCACTTCCTTGTCTAACACCTTTGCCTAAGGGAAACCTTTCTGTTTGCCCATATTCTCTCCTGAGAGAAGCTTCTTGTCCGTGATATAGGTTAGGCATCAGAGCAAACAAGTGCTGAGGCATCCCATAGTTTCTCATGATCCACACACTCAAAGGCTTGGCTGCAGTCTATAAAGCACAGGCTGATCTTTTTCTGACATTCTTTGATAAGCTCCAGCAGCCAACATATATTTGCAATATGATCTCTAGTGCCTCTTCCATTTCAGAACCCTGCATGGATGTCCGGCATTTCTTGCTCCTTATAGAGTAATATTCTTTGTTGCAATCCTTTGGGCATCGCTTTGCATGCGTGGGGAATTAATGCAATGTTTGCATGCTTGCTGCACTTTTTGGCTTCTTTTTTCTTGGGGACTGGAACATGCATTGAACATTTCCGGACTGTGGGCCATTGCTTTGTTTTCCATATTTCTTGGCATGTTCTTCTGAACTGATTCATTTTCTACAGCTTGGAATAGTCTATTAGTATGCTGCGTACTCCAGGTGCTTTATTCTTTGCAAATGCTTTCAGAGCTTTTGCTCCCCCCTCCCCCACTTTCTTCATTGGAAGGAATCATGGAGGGGATTTTGGCCTTTCCATCTGCCAGTCCTGCATTTTTCAGGCCTTTCTGACCTTCTAGCTTGGGCAGCTTAGAGGGGGAGGGAAAGAAGCTCCTCTTTGCAGTCTCTTCTTTTCACTGGCCCTTGAAATACTTCTTCTTCCCCTTCTCCAAGCTCAGCTTACTCCATTCTTTCCACCTTGGCTGTGTGTGGAAGAGGAGGGGGTTGGGGCTCTGATCCCCAGTTTTGAGATCGCAGTGTCACCTCTGACCTTGCGTCTGGGAATCCAAGACAGCCTTTACCCCCTCCCCCCATGTTGTCAAGGGGCCATAGAATTGCTACCTCAACATATTTCTTATAAATCTGTACCACAAAGTGCTACAGAAATGACTGGTATTTACTTTTTATTATTACATTAAATTTATATCCCACCTTTTTTCCTCCCGTGAGGAGCCCAAGAGAGCTTACATAGCTCCATTTTATCCTCACAACAACCTTGTGAGGTAGGTTAGGCTGAGAGGGGTGATCGGCCCATAATCACCCAGAGAGTTTCCTGGCTGAGTAGGGACTAGAACCCAGATTTTCCAGGTGCTCAGACGGAGGTCCACTTAGTTCAACTTCAAGGTGACTCACTCTCAAGTAAACGCATTCAGGCTTGTACCCTACATCTGTTTTCTTTTTCTTCCTTCGTATATATTTTCTTGGATTCCAAAAGGAGCATCATAACGTTCTGACACAGATCAGTAGATCTTGCCCGAGGATGCTTTTTATAGTACTGTGAAACAGCTGGTGGCAGCAACTGTATTAGTAAAAGGAGCTGGTTTTAAAAACAAGCAAGTGCAGTGCAAAAGATGTAGATGCTATTGATTTGTTAAAATCGTGATAACTGAGAATGCAAGGCACTCTGTCATCAGACTGTTTCAAGGTTTCCATCTTTGCAGAGATTGTGTTGCAAGTTTTGTTAATTAATTTATTAATGTTGTACATTATATTGATCTAAATATTGATATAAATGGCATAATTGTTCACCTGTCTACTCATTCACATAAAGAGGGTTGCTTTCATTTAAGAAGGTACAACATTTCAGCCTAAACTATATTGCTTTGGATCCTGCTGAAATCAAAGGTACTTACTTCTGAGTAAATGTGACTAGACCAGGTTACTAAGTCTCCAAACATTTAAATTTATAAGAAGTTAAAGTCTTGGATGAATCAAGTCTAATTGTAGAATTTCACATCTTTTTCATCCAGGGCATGGGCTGTGAGTGACAGTTTTCAGACATCAAAGCAGTTTGAAGTAAGACTTCAAATGTCAATGAGATACAAAGCAATATCTTCATTACACATATTGAAGACCACATTCCTCAAATTAATCTGTAAAGCAGGCTCCCATCAGATAAGTGTGACAGAGAAGATTTATACTCCAGTGCATATTATTATCTTTGCCAAGTTAATATCTTGTTGACTTACTGATCTGCAGTAACTTCAAAGGACGTGTGTTTTTTCCCCTCCTTCCTTTGCCCGGCCTGCTAGAATGGATTTTACAGAAGCGTATGCAGACAGATGCTCGGCTGTTGGGCTTGCGGCTAGAGAAGGCAACGCCAAACATCTGAAGAAGCTCATGAAACGGAGATACAGCATCGATGTTCCTGATAACAGGGGCTGGATGGCAATCCATGAAGCAGCATTTCACAATGCAAGTGAATGTCTGAAGCTCTTAATTCGTGCAGGTAAGGGAATAGGGGGGCTTGTACGGAAGCAATGCGGTAAGACAGGAAAGGACACCCTTTGTGATCCTGGGGCCAGCAATTTTCTCCAGCATTGAAGCGCAGAAGAGGCTAGAAAGGCAGGATGTACCCCAGAGGTCCCCATACCTTTGAGCCAAGAAGTCCTTGTGGGCACTCTTACAAAATGGTAGTCATGGTACGTGTGGCTGGGCACCAGACACCCTGTGCCCAGAAGACTGGAAGAAAAGTAACTGGCCCAAGCACAAAGCTTCCTGCAGAGGTACAGGCCAAGCTCTGAAACACAACACTATGCTTTGAACCCACTGTTTTCTGGTATAAAACCCATTTTGCAGACAGCTGAATGATGATGAGGCTTAGAGATAAGTCTCTTGTCCAAGAATGCCACATGGGCACAAAGGCTTTCTGGGAAATGAAGGTGGCACTGGAGGCTGGCACTTGACTTTACCGCAAGTAAGCTTCCCAGTGTGAAAAATAATGCTTTAAACACTTCTAGAAACCACCTCCGAGAAAATTGAATGGGGTGGACAGATGCCAAGGGTAATGTCCAAGGCACAGACTTGGAGGGAGGCAACGAGAGGGCAGGGCTTTTCTCTGGTGGCCCCCATTTTTGGAGCCATCCTGCTGCGGTCTGCTTGGTGCTAGATTTGGCAACTTTTCAGTACCAGGTCAAGACAGCCCTCTTTGTGGAGGCCTTTCAAGAACTCCTTGGTCGTTCTGGGGCCTGAGACGATTATCCAAGTGCCTTACTCTTGGCCGGATCTTTTTATTGTATTTTATATTATTCCAAATTATTTTTTTAAAAAAACCTTATTAATGTTGTTTTATCTAGTGTATTTTATTGTTTGTATACTTCATTGTAAACTGACCAGAGAGCTTCAGCTATGGGCTGTATAGAAAACTGGGTGACTCTGGGACAGCCACGGACTCTCAGCCCAGCCTACCTCACAGGGCTGTTGTTGTTGGAATAAGATAGAGAACAGGAGAAACATTACATAAGCTGCCTTGAGTTTTTTTTTTTTAAAGAAAAAAGGTGGGATAGAAATCTAATAAATATATGCATAATGGTGATAATAATTTACAGTGTGGCTGATATGATGATAAATGTTTACAAATGTAAAGTGCCTTCCCGTTGTTAGGATGGAACCGGCTAAGGGAGTGTATTTTTGCTTAAGAGGCAAACTGGAGGTCCTTTGGCTTCTGAGAATATACTGAGTCGATAAGTGTAGCGTGAGAGCAAATTAGGAAGCTGTGGATGTAAATCTCTCTTCTGACATGGTTTACCAAGAACCAGGAACTACAGATTAGAGTGTGAGAGAGGAGGAGAGAGAGCAAAGGTAAAGGTGGAGCACACAAGTCTTGGGCTTGTCTGTGTAACACAAAGCGATGCTTTGGTGCTTCTGCCAAACTCTGCCTCTTCCTTGTGGACACAACCAGCAGGAGTAAAGCGCGTTGCACTCCCCTGTGAAATCTGTCCCCAGTTCGGTGCTGCCACCTCCTTTTCTCATGTGGTGATTCTTGCCCGTGGCAGCGAATTCCGTACAGGGGGCAGTGCCATCAATCATCCAGTGCTGCATTGGGTTTAATTCTTTCTTTGATGTATGAGCCATTTTTCTCTGCAACATTACCCAAAGGGGCAGGCAGTAATTAGTGGCAGCTTTAGATTTATGTAAAGCAAAACAGTCTGAATACAGCACAATTACCACCTGAAATCCACCCTTAATTCCTAGGAAGTGACCTTTTACTGTGGAGACTTAACCATCTAGCCCAAGTTAGGTCTGCACAGGGTTTCAGCAAGCTTCAGGGTCTTTCCCTTGATTCTTTTTACTGAAGGTAGTAGGCATATGCTATGAACTGTGGTCCCTTCTCTTAGCCTACCCAGGAGAATGAGGTGGTAGAATAGAGTATACTTCTTTGCAATGCAGGTGAGGAGAAGCCACTTTTGAATGCGTTCCCCTTTAAAAAGAAAATTAGTTGCAAAATGCCTCAAGGGAAGGGGCTCTCACCCACTCCAGACCCCACGAGTTTTTGGCTTGCAGGCAGTGAGAGTTTGCCTGCTTGCCTGTTTTTACATGAGTCAAATTGCAAATATTATCTCTCTGCTGCAGGCTGAAGCACTCAACACTCCCACCACCACCACTTTGAGAACAGGAATCGTAGTCCAGTTCACTTAAAGGGCACCTGACTGGGGAAGGCTAGTCTAAGATACTGCATTGTGCCTGCCCGCCTGTGTTTGCTCCTGAGACATAGCAGTGTGTTTTCCTGGTGGCCAGGAGTGAGGCGCTGACGGCTGGAAGCCTGGCCCATTATTGATGTAACCACCCCGCATTAATTCCTAGGGACCTGGACTTTAGAATCAGGGATATTAGAAAGAAATGAAACTGCCTGTGTTGAAGATGATAAGTGGTTTCTCGACTGCAATGATGAAATATAGATGTTAAATATCAACCATCAAAAGAAAGTTTACCCTCCCCTTCTTGGTGGCTGTGTTGCTTTCTTGCACAGGCCAGGGGATACCCCCAGGCCCCCAAAGTTGCTTGGGTGAGCGAAATGTCAGTTTCTTTTGTCGTGGGCCTCGGATAGTTCTTTCTCACTTTTTCGGGGTCTGTCAGTGTGCACACAGGTGCTAACTCTCCCTTTCTGGGATACAGGTTGCGGTGAAGCTGCTTCAATAAAGCAACCAGTTTTATTCACACAGCAAAAGCAGCTCTTACCTGCAGAATGATTGGGGAAGGCAGTTTCAAGGCAATCTGTCTCTTCCTAGCAAGCTGAAGGTCTGAGCATGGCTCAAATAGCTGACCTGGCATTTCGGCACTGGGAAAGCATTGTGTTGTAAGCCGCCCCGAGGCTTCAGCAAGGGGCGGCATAGAAATGTGATGATGATGATGATGATGATGATGATGATGATGATGATGTTAGTTCTTGAACCTTAATCACCGCCTCGCCAGCCTTCCAGTGCAGCCAGTCCAGTAACAGCCGTTCTGTACTGTGTGATTGTATTCAGTCTCCCGGTCAATGCGAAAAGCCACTACATTCCCTGAACTGCTTGCCATGTGCTACACGCGATGCATGGCACCACATCAAAGCAGAGTCAGGGGAAGCAAGCTTCTTTCACTAATTCTGTTTCAGACTGATTTAATACCTCTATGAATGTTGGCAAGGCTAACCTTTCATGTCATCACCAGCACCCTCTGCTGACTACGTAAGATCGAAGACTTTTGAGGGCACTCGCCCATTACACCTTTCTGCAAGTCGTGGAAACTTGGAATGTGTCGCTCTTCTCTTAGAATCTGGATCCGACCCCAATGAACTTACTGATGATGCGACCACACCTTTGTTCTTAGGTGAGTATAGCCCATTCTGAAGATGTAAGAATGAGTCTGGTCTTGATCTGTCTGTCTGTCTGTCTGTCTGTCTGTCTGTCTGTCTGTCTAATCTATCTATCTATCTATCTATCTATCTATCTATCTATCTATCTATCTATCACCCAAGAGCCACAGCTCTTTGGGTGATTCACAACAACAAAGTTAATATTTTGTATATATGGATTTTTCCAACCTTTTCTCTCTTCGTAATTGGTCATCACTAGCATAACTGAGCTAGTAAAAATGAGCCATACAAGAATGCAAAGATACAGAATGGCAAAGCACATGGCCATTTTCCAAAATGCTGCAGAGTTTGAAAGTTCAATTACAAAGGAGCTGTGTTTAGTAAATGTATGGTGGTGGAGTTGTTATTACAATACTTCCATTGCTCTTATCCTGAAAATTCCCCGCTGGTTTTGTGGTTGCATCCATTGAGAATCTTTGAAGGCACACATAGATGGAAATCTTCAGGCAGAGCTTGCCAATATAGAAGGGACATGTCAAATCTGATAAACAGCTTTCAAGCACCCAAGTCTGATGTTTGAGACATGAAGCACACTCGAGAAGAGAGTACAATCAACAAATCAATCTGAACAGCCATGTTGCAGAGCTAGGTTTAATTGCTGTTGTGTGAAGACAACTTAGAAATGTCCGTTCAATAGAAGTACCTCCGCAGTGATAAATTAGATTAACTCTCATAATTGATGACTTTGTAATAAGCTGCATCGTTCTTCTGTAAAACAGGAGTCGTGGGTTCTATTTAGATCTGTAGTCTGAAGTTTCAGTTCCTCTCTTTAAGTTGAATATAAGATGCAGGTCACCCAACTTTCTGCGCCCGAGTGCAGATCAAGTGCTTTGCCTCGGCTTTGGCTATGGCAGGCTTCTCCTGTACATAGTTGGGACAAGCATCCTTATTTGAGGCTTTCTGTCTTTCTTTTTGTTTTTAAAGAGCAGCTTCCCTTACTGAAGGACAAACTGTTTTTGAGTCTTGCAGGAGTTTTCGAGAGTTTGTGATGTATGTGCATCTGCTTCCATGTGCTCATTCTACTGTATAAGTTTTAAGAAGCCAAAAGTCTTACTGGGGCTCAGGAAATCCCTGGATGAACCCATTTAAGTTTTCTTTCTTACTTATTTTCTATCAGTTGAGTAACTGGATGCATGCTTATTTTGCTTACTTAAAAAAATAGGGTTAGCTCCTTTCCATTTTCATACATTTTATTTTCCGTATACAGTAGACTCCCAACTATCTGGCCTAATGTGGCGGAAGGGCAGGCCGGATAGCAAAAAAGCTGGATAGGCTGGAGTTCTATAAATGCTTACTTCCAACCCCACCCATACCATTAAAAACACCCTTTTTATACCAAAACCCGCTCTTCATATTTTCTGACCTCTTAATACAGGCCAGTACTTTATAAATGTTTGTTATGTACTGTACTGTACATTTTAAAATTTATTACAGAAAAAGTAAGTCCAAGGATAAAAATATTGTATACATTTTAAGATGAATTTTACAATGTCTAACTTAATTGCAGGAAACATAAAATCATGTACACTGTACAGTGTAAATACATATACTTTTAAAATAAACAAAACATTAACGTAAAATGTAGGCTTAATTCTTACAAAAATTATTTAAACTTATTTTACTGTTCATTGATAGTTTTTTTTTTTAACTAGACCGGATAGTTTGGAGGCTGGATAGTTGCGAGCCGGATAGTTGAGAGTCTACTGTATAAAGACAAACACCCCAACCCCAGCCCTAGATATTTTAAAATGAATTACCAGAGGGAAGCACATTTGACCTGTATCTTAAGTACACGTGAAGTACACGTGGAATCCACTGGCACTTGCTTCTTCATAGTTCTTCATAATGCATTGTATTTAATGCACTTTCCAGTGTGTCGGCCCATCATCCTCCAAACTCAGAGGAAAACGGGCATCCTGTTGAGAGCAGGGGAAGCATGGAGGGAAGGATGGCCTCCGAGTTTCCCCTGCTTTCCAAAACACTTCTACTCATGATTTACTACTGAGAGCCAGTGTGGCGTAGTGGTTAAGAGCATAGGACTGGGACTCAGAGGATCTGGGTTCGAGTCCCTGCTCAGCCATGGAGCCAACTGGGTGACTTTGGGTCAGTCACAGACTCTCAGCCCAACCTACCTCACAGGGTTGTTGTTGTGGGGAGAAGATGGAGGAGGAGGAGGATGTAAGCTGCCTTGAGCCCTTTGTAGGAAAAAGGCAGGATATAAATCGAAAAATAAATTAAAATAAATAAATTGATTTATATGCTGTCCAATTAGCCATGGGCGCTCTGGCGGCTTATATACAATCAGTCATAGCACCTTCTCCCCCATGTGCCCTCCCGCCCCTTGAGATCTGAGGCAGGGGCCCTCCGCTGGGAGCTGTCCTTGAAAGAGATCAAGAGGGTGAACTACCCAGAGGAGGGTCTTCTCTGTGGTGGCACCCTGATTGTGGAACATGCTCCCCATAAAGGTTTGCCTGGCATCAAGGCTTCTTTCCTTTCAGTGTCAGGCAAAAACCTTATTATTCTCCCAGTATTTTAATTGTTAACTTGTTTTATTGGTGGGTTTATATTTTAACACTGGATGCTGGGCAATTGTTATTCTTCTTTTTATTTTTTAGACTTATTTGCTGTAAACCGTCCCAATGGTTTACGTATGGGACAGTATAGAGAAGTTATAAATAAATAAATAAATAAATAAAATTCAACAGTACAATAGGATACTAGTAACAATAACAAACCTCTCTGGGGAGTGTATTCCATAATCCGGGTGCCACCACAGAGAAGGCCCTTCTGCGGGTAACCACCCTCCTAATCTCCTTCAAGGAGGGCTCCTTTACTGTCAAGATGGTTGGAATAGACCTAGAAGGTCCAGCCTTACCTTACGGCTGCTTGAAGACTGTAAAGGGCAGCAAAGGTCAGCATTTCATTTAATATATACTTTTTGATTTATTTACTTATTTTTATTTATTTTTTACTGCTGAAGAAATATTAGTGGCACTTTCTGCCTCAGATGTCAAAATTTCCGACCTTGGGTCCTGTGCCCACTGACTCGGGCCAAGCTAAGCTGCTCTGCTTTTGGCAAGAGAATGTCTCAGGTCAGCCTTGGACCTGGAGTTGAAAGCTTGTCCTCTCTCATCCATCTATTTCCTGTTCTTTCTCAGTGAAGGGTGGACAAAGTCTGTGCTTTAATTAACTGCTTCCAAAAAGGAGAAGGGAAACAAAACAAAAGCTGTTTTATTTAAACTCCAAATTTCAGGAGGATAATCTGATGTTGACCACCGGAATAATAAGGTTTCTTAAATAATCTAGAGCTGACATTATTTGCAGTGCTCAGCAGGTGTCAGTGTGGCTCAAGGAATGTCAGTGCCGTGTTGGTTTTTATACAGCTTGCAAGGAGATGTCGTCACACAGAAAACGAGACGCCTGGTTTTTCTGAGGGTGGGGCGGGGGGGGAGCCCATGCCGATGAAGCCAAGCCTTTGTCCTGAAGAGAGGCGTTCTGCCAACGCTTCCTTCCGCAGTCGTCTATGGCCTGGATTCCTAAAGACGGGGATGGCACTCGGTGTGATGGCTTGTGGCTGGAAGACGAGCATCAGCGCAGGCTCTTTCTAGAACCCTCTAGAATGGGCACGTGCGCGCTCTGGGCGCTGAGCAGAAGCCCTGCGGATGGCGCCTGGAGGAAAGGGCCGCTTGTGCCCCTTTGTCTGGCACAGCCGGCTGGGCTTTTGTCATCTCCTCACCTGCTTTCCCTGCAGCCCAGCCAGCCCTGTCTGAAGGGGAGGCACATTCACCTTCATCCTCCCACGATGTGCATCACCCTTTCTCTGGCACCGAAGGTAGAGCAGGTTTCAGGAGGAGGCCTGATTTGCAAAACACTGCAAGGTAGATTTAGGGTAGTCACAGACACTTAATAAATGGTATATTTGTTTGCTTTGCAAAGTCAGTGTCCACATATAAACTCTGAGAGTGGAAACTGGACAAGAGGGCAGGATAGGGGAAGATCTCTAGCACAGTCGTAGTCCCCTTTTTCTGTGGGTTCTGTGGCGCTTCTCTCCCCACCCACCCCATAGCCATGCAAGCCTGGCTTGTGCGTAAACACCTCTTTCATGCTGCCAAAAGACACTGCTTAGACTCTGTCCCTGGCCTGCTGGGGCAGAGTTAGGGTGGCCATATGTCCTGCTTTGCAGTGGGCATATGTCCTGCTTTATTTGAGGGTTTCCTCTATTCAGAAACATAGGAAGAACCAGTTTGGCATTGTGGTTAGAGTGTTAGATTGGGACTCAGCAGATCTGGGTTCCTGTCCCCACTCAGCCATGAAGGTCACTGGGTGACTTGGGGCCGGACACTGCCTCTCAGCCTGTCCTACCTCACAGGGTTATTGTGAGGATAAAATGAGGAAGAGCAGGAAGGCTATGGAAGGCATCTTGGGATCCTTGCAAGAGGAAAAAGTGGGATATAAATGTTATAATCAAATACATTTGGCCCGTTTCATTTAGTATTGTCAGCACAGATGTGCAGTAAGGCTTCTTTCTGGGCCTGCCAGAGATAAAAAGGATTGAACCTTTGAGCTTCTTGCCGCGGTGCTACGGTCCTTCCTGCTGAAGGGCTATCCAGCCCAACTCCAGTTTGAAAGTATCCTAAAAAGGCGGAGCAGGAGATCCTGAACTTGCCCAGCAGTACCTGGATGGCAGACCGAACAGACACACAGGTCTCCTGGTCTCACTTCTTCCCACTGTGGTGAGGTGTGTTGTATTTCTGCTCAAATGGTAGCAATTATTTCCACATTCGCAGTCTTGCGCTCAGTTTGCCTGAGCCACTTTTATGCAAACTTGTGCTCTCTTTGGGCCCCCCTTTTGGTGAGGTGGAAACGGCCATCCCCGAAGCAGCTGCAGTGGGGTTTGGGCTCCCCCACAATTTTTCAGTTGAAAATGGAAACCTGCACCCATAACAACACACAG